CTTTAGCTGCGACTAAAACTACGGTAGAACTTTCTCCTTTGTTGACTCGGCAGTATATTACAGCGGCATACGCTTGATTCGAAGCATCGCAAAAACCATGTAGTTGTACCTGTTCATCTTGGTTTATCCCAAGCCATCTATTTACTTCTATGGTATGGATTTCCCTTAGTTCTCTTCTCAATTTAGACCACTTGGTTTCTATTTCTTCTGGTAAAGAATCATCCCAATTTAGGTTGGATAACCACACAGTTTGAAATAATATCTTCATATTAATGCTCAAAGGGGTGAGCCATCCTAATGGATCGAACAGTTTTGAAATGTCCGATAACAGAGACCTTTTAGTTAGTTTTGTTGTTACTTCCTGGTCTAGTTTGGAGTCAAATATAAATTGATCTTTTTGTGGGTTCCAGCGAGACCTAAAGTTTTGGTGGAGTCTGATTGTTTGAACTCATACGTTTGCTGGTTACATAAACTTTTATCTAGATCTGATAGAAGCCGAGGTTCGTTCGACGCCCATTTTCTTAAGTTAAATCCCCCCTTGCGGAGTATTTTTATAAGGTCTAGTTTTAGCTGGTTTGCCTGTTCTATTGAATGTTGACCTCCACAGTAATCGTCCATGTAGAAGCTTTCTTCTAAGGCCTTTGCTGCGGTAGGATAATTTTTCTGTTCGGCAGTTGCTAACTGCTTCAAACACATCATAGCTAGAAATGGTGCTGGCTTCGTACCATAAGTTACGGTAGTAAGCTGATATGTTTGAATAGGTTGGTTTTGGGTGTTTCTCCATAGTATTTTTTGGTATGGTTGGTCATCGGGATGCACCATTATTTGTCGGTACATTTTTTCAATATCCGCCGTGAAAACATACTGATACTGTCTCCATTTGAGGATAAGTTCCTGAAGATCTTGTTGTAAATTTGGGCCTCGATATAGGATATCATTAAGACTTAATCCAGATAGCGACCTTGCCGATGCATTAAACACGACACGTAGCTTTGTAGTCGTTGACTCCGCTCGAATTACACTGTGATGCGGTAAATAGCACTCAGGTGTCATGTTTGTGTTTGATTGTTTCATATGACTTAATGTAATATATTCATTCATAAATAGTTCGTATTCTTTTTTCACTTCCTGGTTTCTTTGCAATTTTTTCTCTAGATTACGAAACTGTGCCAAGGCTAATGGTTTCGTGGATCCCAGTAGTTCCTTTGAATCTGATTTGAATGGTAGCCGAACTTGGAATCGGCCATCTTTAAGCCTTTCTGTGGTTGATAAGAAAAATTGCAAGCACTCCTGGTCTTCTGTGGACATTTCATATTGTTGGTGGATATCTTCATTTTCCCAAAATCTGCGCAAGTCATCTGTATTATGAAGAACAACATTGCAGTTGTATTGGGGTTTCATTGACCCGCAAAGCAGCCATCCCAATTGTGTTTGCTGGGCAATTGGTTGATCCTCATCATCTCCTCTTAAAATGCCACCTAGCATTATCTTGCAGTATACATCGGCTCCCAGAAGTAAATCCACTGCACGGCTGATATAGAAATCGGGATCCGCTAAATTAATAGTTTGGATGTGAGGCCACGATGGTCGAACAAAAGTTTTATTTGGTAAGCTTTTAATTAGACTTTTCATAATAAGTGTCTCTCCTTCCAGTGCAAAGTCACTGTAGATAGATTGGATGCGAATGTTCATTACACCTTTACAACTATTTTCTTTTTCCCCGATGCCAAAAATTGATCCTTTACATTTCTTTCTTTTTAATTTCAAAATTTGAGCAGCATTTTCGTTTATTATTGATATTTGTGATCCTTGGTCAATCAAAGCTCTCATGGTATGTTGAGTGCCGTCTGCTCCTGTCACCTTGACGATTGCAGTTGACAACAAGGTTTCGGTCACATTATTCTGAGACACATGAGTGGTTGAGAAGTTGGTTGGTGTGGTCTCAGCTTTAGGATTTATTTTTGCTGACGAATTTGTTTTCGATTTCATCATTATTCCTTCATGCAATAAAGTGTTATGGCTTGCGTTGCATTTGCGACATCTTTTCGTCGAAAAACATTGTTTATTAAAGTGATTAAATAGACAATTTACGCAACAATTTAGTTGATTAACCGTTTTTAATTTTCGTTCATCCGACATTTGTAAAAATTGAGCACAGAGCCATAATCCGTGGTCAGCATTACACAATGCGCATATTATTGGTTTTGAGACATGCATAGTCCTCGTGATATTTTTCCCGTTATAGAATTTATTGTTGTTTGAAGATTGCTGATGGTTGTTAAATTGAAGAGTCTTTTTCTGGTATGAATGGTTTTGATGAGATGGTTGATTGGTTTTCTGATAATTCGATTCTTGTTTACGCCTCGATGCCTCTAATGCGGTAAATTTATTTTCCAAGAAATCAAGGAATTCTTGCAAAATAGGTAAAGCCCTGGGGTTTTTTACTGACTCCATGTATTCGGAGAACGACTCAGTATCTAATTTTTGGGTTAACAAATGAACCAAGAGTGGGTCCCAGGTGGAGATATCTACGCCTAGATTTTGTATAGCGTGCAGACATTCTTTGGTTACATCATGCAACTTTTTCAACATTCCCATTGTTTGGTTTGACATGTTTGGTAAGTTCAATAATAAATTAAGATGGGATGTAAATATAAGCCTCTGGTTACCGTATCTATGATTAAGTATCTCCCAACATACTTCATAATTTTCCGAGCTAATTTGAAGATGGTAGATCAAACGCTCGGCTTCTCCCGTGATTTTACTTTTTAAATACTGCATTTTTTGTGCATTCGATAAAGATGGGTTTTTGTGTATGGTTTCAGTAAATAAATCTTTAAAAGAAGTCCATTGGTGGTAGTTACCCTGGAAGATTGGAATATCTATTTTTGGAGTAGATTTATCCCGATGTGTTTCAGACCACATTTTCGAATTGATGGTTTTCTTCATTTCTATATAAATTTTTTCATGCGTGCTAAATTCATTTTGATACCACATGTTTTCATCGCCGTCTTCGCCTTCTATCTCCCAGTGCAGACTATCAATGACAGTCCAACGACTTTGAAGACATTTCAGAGCATCCTCAAACTCCCATTTGTTCTGTAACTTCTCCACTTCAAAAGTAGCTACAGTTCTCTCAAAGGCTCTAAAGTTGATGGTTTGCTTTTTGATCATGTCACTCAATTTGCTGACACGTTCTACGCTCTTCGCATTAGTCTGTGGTTGGTTAGTTTTAGAATAGGATACGCTCGGCGTTTGGTTTGACGCACTTGCCTCTGGAGGCAGCTGGTAAACTCCATGTTGCTTAGACAAGAGATTTTCCATGGTTTTCGTAATTAACATTTTGGCAGTCAAATATACTTCTTCGGCCTTATCGAAACAATTATTAATAAAATACACATGACCAAGTTCAGCGGTTTCACAGCACTTTCTATGATTCCGTTGATAGTCTCTCCAGTAATTTTCTAATAGCTCTAATTTCCTCTTACAGTAATCTATGGTTTTCCTATCTTCTCCATCTTTCTTGAAGTTAGTCAAGAATTTAACTAAAGCGTCGTAGATCTCGGTTTGGTTGATAGAGAGTGCCTCCATGTTAAAATGCAAAGACAATTAAATGAATTAATAAAATGGTTTGGTCTGACCTTATATTCTCCTTACGATACAGCTCCACTCTCGATGTAGCGTTCTCTGATGATGTGCACTGCTTATTATCTCTATCTAATTACTGGTAGTAAGATCCCGGATTCACAAAACACTTTCGAACAGTACTTCCGAATTGTACTTCGCGACCCGAGATCCGGCTCGAAGGACCATGTAAAAAGGTGCGTCACTACGTACGAAGCGAGTCCCTTTTTATAGAGTTTGCAAGTTATTGATTATCAATGGTGAGATAAAAAATACACTAAGTTATGTTTGATTTAAGAATATATTAAATTCTACAAATGATGGTTTAACTGATTAATACTAAAAGATGATTTGATTTGATTTGTACGAGTAGACCGGCGATTGCGTACTACTATTGAACGTAAAATTCGATGCCTTTTATAAAAGTGTTTGTACGTAAAATGCTGAGCTGTTCGGTTGCGTTGCTCCGAACAACATTGTTTTTAAATTATGATAAAATACGTATATGTAACGAACTATGTAATAAAGTCTAAGAATCAGAATTACACACACAGAATTAATACATCATGAAATGAACATAGATGACCATACAATATTAAGGTACAATTGAACAGGGTGCTTACTCTTGAAACCAATCTCAATGTCAATGCAATTTCAATCTAATAAAATCTCAATAATTATTCAATGTCAAAACTATACAACCACAATCGTAGCTGTTAATATAGCATTCAGAGTACGGAATATAAAGCCAAACTCAATACCATTTAGTTTATTCAATATCCACGCAATACGGATGCAATGGGCGCCAGTGTTGCAACTCAAGAGTACGAAATTTCGCAATACCAATGTCGATCGATCGGAATTGGATTCAAGAGTAAGCCCACGGTCTGATGAGTGAATTGGAAGGTGAGTGATGGAACCTTGGACTCTCTACTAGTCTGTTGGCGGTTCTTCTAATAAAGACGTCAAAATATTATGATTACAACTGGACGGTTGGCGCAGTGGCTGGGAAACCGAATGCCGCGCAATGTGTAGCAGCTTCGATTCCCGCACTGATCAACTCTTTGTGTGCTCCACAAATTGTTGTTTCGGGTCTGAGTGTCATGTGTATGTGAACTTGTATGTTTGTGAACGCACCCACGACACAGGAGAAAATCCTAATGTGGGGCAACGTTTTGTTAAAGGAAATATAAGAAAAAAGGTTCAAAGTCAGTATTAAGTTATTTTTAAAAGGGGAATTTACCTATAATTTTCAACAATTTTTGTTACAAAGTCAAACTCAAACTCAAAGTCAAAGTCAAAAAATTAGACCAGGAAGGCACTTTTAAACGTCAACAATTTCTATTCAATTTCATTTCTTTTTATCTCTTTTCCAGTCTCAATCTGACGCTATAATAGGCTGGGTGGACGCTAGATCAGGTCGTCCATTCATGATGGATACCTGGGTGTCTGGGTACTCTGCACCGCGCGTCGACCCTCGACAGGACCTGGCGCAGGAAGCCGGCAGCACGGTCGATGGAATCACCACGCTTAGCTTCGTTAGGAAACGGAATACTGGGGATCAGAAGGTAATATTATACATATATTGATTTATAAAGTACTTGACCAAAAGGGCCTTGTCAAAATAATACTTCCTTTGGAGGTCATAAACTCACAATGACACCAGAGCGGACGGCGCGTAACGTTCCGCGCGCGCCTCAAAGAGCCATCAGACCACCACAGATGGGGCCCAATAGGGCCGATGCCGATTCGGAGTCGCGGAGAACCTACCGGGTAACCGGGCCACGTTTAGTCAGTAAGAGTCTGACACTCCCTCCGGCCTCACCCAGGCGGGAGCAGTCATTCGATGATTTTCCCCCATTAAAAAAAAACTCACAATGACCAATGCTAAGTGTGTGAGAGCCGAAGCATGGCACGAATGGGCCGGCTCGACCGGAGTGATACCACGGCCGAGCAGAAATATGTTCGCGTTTCGTCGTGTGAGTGAGATTACCGGAGGCACAATTACTCGCCCCCCACCCCTTTCTCCCCAATCCCTGACTCCCCAACGATCCTCAAACTCCTAATCCCCAAAAGGCCGGTAACGCACTTGTAATTGTAACGTCTCTGGTGTTACGGGCGGCGCCGATTGCTTACCATCAGGTGATCCGTCTGCTCGTTTACCGGGTTATGCCATAAAAAGATGACGCCCAAATCGTCCATAATGTGACGCGTGTTTGTGTACGCCACAAATAGAAAAGTCGATAGTGAATAGAAAGAAGTAGGTAATAAATATTACTGGGTTTAAAAAAAAAATCTCAGTAGTAGCACGGAGTCTGGAATTGTGCCCGGTATATGGCAATAGGCTCACCCCCTATTACATGGGACTCATAACATAAATAGTGAAAAGTGGGTGTTACATTGTACAGTGGCATAATGTGTACCTTTGCCTACCCCTTCGGGGATAAAAGGCGTGATGTTATGTTATGTTTATGTAATAAATAAGGTCCCTGTAATATGGGCCGATTTTACCAGCGCTAGATGAATTTTATCAGAGAAATAACTTTGATTTAAATATTTGACAATTTCTTTTCCATGCTTAGTAGAAACTGTCAATTGACAATTTTATTCTACAGTTAAGAATTATCTGTTGATTTATTTAATTTTTACCGACATCAAAAAAGGAGGAGGTACTATGTTCGTCTGATTGTCTTTTTTATCTTTTGGTTATAGTGTATTATTAGTTATTTGTACATATTTATTAGTTTTTTCATTTAAATTAAAAATAAAACACGTATGTATCGAAATAATAAATGTAATCTGTTGTAATGATTGAAAAATTCGGCCGTAAAATAACTAAGCTCACTAATAAGTGAAAGTAGGTAGATACTTACCATAAGAAATAGGTACTGCAAAAATTTACATTTAACTTTCAATGATAAAAAATGAAAACAAAACTGAATTATTAAAAAAATAAGTAAAATTTTTGACAAATTATTCCATAAGAATACTAAAATAAAAAACCATTAGAAAAATGTAGCAAAAACATATGCGTCGGCCGGGAATCGAACCCGGATCAACTGCTTGGAAGGCAACTATGCTGACCATTACACCACCGACGCATGTATTAGATGTTTCCAAATAAGTGTTCAGTATCAACATAGACTGAGTAAATAATAATTTTATTCAGATTTATATGAATAGATGTGAAATTATTATTTGAATTGAAATACATTCACCCGATGAATCTGTTGTTAATAATATTACATACAAAACAAATTTAATGATTACTCTATCGTGGTACAACTTTAATTAATTAAAATTAATTATAAGATACAATTGTGTGGTAAACAGCTTAGTACAATACATTTATGGACCATCGCTACTCCTCCTGCGGGTATCGTATGACTCGATTAAGGAACAATATATTTTGTCAGAGCAGGAGTGCTCTTTGAAAAAAGTGAATATTTTAAATTAATATCTCCAACCAAACAAAAAGAGGTTTGCTTTGTAATTTGTATTTTAACCCCCATATGGAAAAAATGGTGTAACTTTTAATTGCCAGAGTTTCGCCTGAATAGAATCGATAAGAAGTGGAATTGTTTGCCAGCATAGTCTGTGTTTTACGAAGGATATAACCTGGGTGACTTCAAGGTCCGAATTGAAAGTTTACTTATGGGCAGTCGAGATCAATCGTATCCCGCATCATCGCTTACCTATGTAAGAATATACACAAGTCATTCTCAAATTCGTCTAGACTACGATCTATCTAAATCAAGTTCCCAAACTTAGATCCCAGTCGCGGAGAACCTAACGGGTTACCGGGGCTCCGGCTCGACGTGCAGGAGAAGGAACGGGGTGGTTTTTAGTCAGTAAGAGTCTGACACTCCCTCTCGCCTCACCCAGGCGGGAGCAGTCATTCGATGATTTTCCCTCTTTAAAAAAAAACTCAGCGCCTTTAGGATATTAAATCGTTCACAATTTGAAAAATAGAATACAGGACAGTTGATTAAAGAATGAATCTACTGACAAGGCCCACTAAAGATTCGCTTGCGATTCACCAATGGATCGCGACCATACCGCGACTAGGAAACCCTGACCGACACTTATCTATTAACATAACATCACACCTTTTATCCTCGAAGGGGTAGGCAGAGGTGCACATTATACCACTGTACAATATAACGCCCACTTTTCACTATTTATGTTATGAGTCCCATGTAATAGGGGGTGAGCCTATTGCCATATACCGGGCACAGTTCCAGACTCCGTGCTACTATTGAGAATTTTTTTAAAACCCAGTAATGCTTTGCCCGACCCGGGAATCGAACCCGAGACCCCTTACCCGGCAGTCGCAAATGCGACCACTCGGCCAACGAGGCAGTCACTAACTAATCTATTAATAAATACTTTGCCCGACCCGGGAATCGAACCCGAGACCCCTTACCCGGCATTCGCAAATGCGACCACTCGGCCAACGAGGCAGTCACTAACTAATCTATTAATAAATACTTTGCCCGACCCGGGAATCGAACCCGAGACCCCTTACCCGGCATTCGCAAATGCGACCACTCGGCCAACGAGGCAGTCACTAACTAATCTATTAATAAATACTTTGCCCGATCCGGGAATCGAACCCGAGACCCCTTACCCGGCATTCGCAAATGCGACCACTCGGCCAACGAGGCAGTCACTAACTAATAACATAACATAACATCACGCCTTTTATCCTCAAAGGGGTAGGCAGAGGTGCACATTATACCACTGTACAATGTAACACCCACTTTTCACTATTTATGTTATAAGTCCCATGTAATAGGGGGTGAGCCTATTGCCATATACCGGGCACAGTTCCAGACTCCGTGCTACTACTGAGAATTTTTTAAAAACCCAGTAATACTTTGCCCGACCCGGGAATCGAACCCGAGACCCCTTGCTCGGCAGTCGCAATTGCGACCACTCTGCCAACGAGGCAGTCACTAACTAATCTATTACCTAACATTATATTTCCAGGACCTCAGCTTCACAGACTCCCAGTGTCTGTACATGATGTTCATCACTCACGGCGGCGGCTTCGACCCGGTCAACAAGCGCACTAGCAAACACATGCAGACTCCAATCGTTACTGACGAGAGAGTCTGCATCAAACCCTGTGGCCCTGGTTAGTATAAAATTCATTTGTGTCAGCTTGGAGTTATCATGCTCACTCAAAGGTCTCATTGGCGGTGGCGCGTGCAGTGGATCGCTCGATTCCCTACAATATGGTTGATTTGGGCGGTGCTGGTGTACGTGTCATGTTCGTGAACGGGCGCCGTCAACTGGGACTGGTCAGCTCCAGACTGTATTATTGTCCTTAAGGTTATTTTCTTTTTTGATCACTTTGACTGGATTTTATTGTTACATTGTTCTCGCACAATCCAAACAGCAAAACTATGTAACTAGTAAATTGTATTGTGAACCTGATTGAAAAAGAGTAACCTATGGAGTTTCTTGCTCGTTCTTCTGCATAGGAATCTACACTTTGGAATAAGCAAATAGCTTCACTTTTAATTTTTTTTTTGTTGACGTTCAAAAGTGCTGTTCTGGCCTAATTGAAATAAATGATTTTGACTTTGACTTTGAGTTTGGGTAGATGACTAATTTTTATTTTAATGTCCGTCTGGTAGATTATTTTATACCATTACACACGTATTTTTTATTTTCTTACGGAAACTAATAGTTTTGAAGATAAATTGATTTGAAATGTCACGTGACGTCACTTCTATATACATTTTATATGTAGAAATGACGTTTTAGCCCCCACTCCTAAACTTTGATTCGTTTTATCTAAGTATTGTTTTATTATACGACAAAATAAAAAAAATACGTGACAAATTTTTTTTTCATTACCTAACTGACGGACTAATTAGATTTTTTATTTTCATCACACATTATTATGTTATTAGTTTCGTATAAAATGTCCTAATATACCTTCAGATTCACTTCGTTGCGGGATCCAAGAGAATTGTGAACTTGCCAATCAAATTCTGTACTTTTTTCTAACTGTCAAAAACAACAATTTTCTATGAATTTTGTACTAGACTGTATATTTGTGACGTGATGTTTTTGAATTAATGAAAGTGTGATTATTTTTCAATATTTTATTGTATTAAACAGTCGAAATAATTTAGTTTTGATTAAGGGAAGTTCCCTATTATTCGTGTTCCGGTGTTTTCATGGTTGTATCTACTGTAGATCCTGGCTTACAGAAGTTGCAGTGGTTTTGGGAGGATGTGGCGGGCTTGTCCCATTTAAGAATCATACCTGGGTGCTTACTCTTGAAACCAATCTCAATGTCAATGCAATTCAATCCAATAAAACCGCAATAATTATTCAATGTCACATTCAATATCCACGCAATACGTATTCAATCGGCGCTAGTATTGCTACTCAAGAGTACAAGATTTCACAACACCAATGTCGATCGATCGGAATTCGATTCAAGAGTAAGCCCCCTGTTTGCGTCGATTTACATCACCAACCATATCAAAAAAAAATTGGTTGCCTGTAAAGTCGGTATATACGGGCGAAAGTTTTACGTGACAACGACTTTGAGTGGTAAAATATTATGTCTGTCTCTCTCGCTCTTAGGCGGGCTAACCATGCCCGAGTGGAAGGGACGCGTGCCTCTCACTCGCTCTCATTGTGAGCGCATAACGTGAGCGGAGCGTAACGCAGTTTCTTGAAGTGTCACCCGGCAAACCAATTTATAAGACGTTGTCACGTCAAAAATACTAAACAAACATAATATATTCCACAGAACCAATTGAAGAAGAAATAACTACGGAACCAGTGATACCTGGACAGGCGTCGTATACAATGTTGATCCGTATAACGGGGCTGGCAGACAGCTACAAGCCACCGGCGGCCGGCAGCAAGGAGTTCGACGAGCTCAGTAAGACGGTCGCTGACAGCCTCGCCGCCGAACTTGGGAAGAATAAGGGATACCACGCTGTACTTGTTAACGGGTTTATGCAGTAAGTGACATGACAACCACGTCTTACAAATGAAGAGAAAGGAAGAAAAACATCGCTGCAACAATAACTACAACATGAGTGCCTCGTTGGCTGAGTGGTCTCGGGTTCGATTCCTGGGTTGGGAAAAGTAGTACTGGGTTTTGAAAGAAAAATCTCAGTAGTAGCACGGAGTCTCAGTAGTAGCACGGAGCAAATGTGCCCGGTATATGGCATACAGTACAAAATAGTGAAAAGTGGGCGTTACTTCTGTGTGCACCTCTGCCTGCCCCTTCGGGGATAAAAGGTGTCATATGCTATGTTATGTTGAAGAAAAACAATAATTTCGGCTTCAATTGAAGATAATTCGGTTTTAATTGAAGATAGAAATATTCTTTATTCAAGTTTATGAATGGAGTTATTAACTAAAATCGCGGGCTACTCACGTGAATATACTGAGAAAAGCTCTACTAGTTTCGAACCACAGAGGGGTTCTTCCTCATGAGCAGAGTGCGCGGTCGCTAGTACCTATGTCTGTGTTTAGTATGTCTCACGAATTCACGATAGTTATTATTAAAACAATGGAGTTATTGTCACATTATGCCGCCATTGTTACGAGTCCCATGCAATACCTAAATAGTAAACTAGGATTGAGTTTAATCTTCTCAAAATGCTGGCAAAGCACTCATAACATCTCTAGTGTTCGAGGTGTCTATTAACTTCGCTGATTATTTGCCATCTAATAACTCGACTGCTTGTTTGTTAGTCTGTCTAAATACACACTTATAACTATACACTTATACGTTACTACTGCGAGGAAAATTGAAAAATCCTCAATAGAGGTGGCTAAGCCTCAAATTTTTTAAGCAGCACTAGATATTAAATTTTTTTATCGTTTCTCTTATCTTGATCTGTTTATAATTATATTGTCAGTACGGTCTGTTTCAATATTTATTTTTTTCATTTACGCAGAATGTATGTATTTTTAATATTGTATAGTAGGTATTCACACCATACTAATTAATTTCAAATGCTAAACGTGAGGACTTGTTATTGGCTCATTGTTACCTACGCCTATTGTTATTTTTATCCATTTTTATAAGATGTAAGTCCTCCATGAATTATAAATAATACTTACTCGATCTAAGAATCGGTCTTAAAACCCCTTGTTTAGCATTTGCACTGAGTTGTAGATTTGTTTTAACAAATCTACAACTCAGTAGAAACAATTTTATTTTAGTTTAGACTATCATATCTTCAACTCCCAATTTTCTTTCAGAAACGAAACAAAAGCGATTATAGCAGAATTGACGCTAAAATCAATAGAATCCAACTCTATCGAGGGCTCGACTGGGCGGGCCCTGTCTAGTGACAACAGTACGGACCCGGAGCAGGGCGCGGCGCGCTGGGAGCGGGCCGTGCGGGACACGCTCGCACTCGGCCGCGTCGGGAACCTCAATGTCGACCCTGAGTTCTTGGTCTTTGAACCACAAAGTTGTAAGTAACTATCATTTACTAGCTTTTACCCGCGGCTTCGCTCGCGTCACAAAAGGATAAAAAGTAGCCTATGTGACATATATCAATACACACAGCGCCATCTATACCAATAATTTCGTTTTCCCTCGAGAATATCGAATTTTTCTGGGATAAAAAGTACACCTATTATTTAATCCAGACTTCTAACTTCACGTCTGCAAAAATTCAAAGCAATCGGTTTAGTAGTTACGGCGCGAAAGTGGAACAAACAAACTCACTTTCCGATTTGTAATATTAGTAAGGATGTCTATCATATCATCGAATGACTGCTCCCGCTTGGGTGAGGCGGGAGGGAGTGTCAGACTCTTACTGACTAAACACCACCCCGTTCCTTCTTCTGCACGTCGAACCGGAGCCCCGGTTACCCGTTAGGTTCTCCTTAGTATGTATATATAGTAATAGGAATGCAAAGAACCGTATTCTCGTCTATATGCAATGTATGTAATTTCAAGAAGAGTATGTATATGAAGTTTAAAAAATTAAAAAAAAAACATCAGCTTTTTAAATTGCCGGCTGGGCAACCGGCTGCCGCGCACCGTTTTGTGCATTCGATTCTCGCACGGAGCAACTCTTTGTGTAATTCACAAATTGTTGTTTCGGGTCTGGGTGTCATGTGTATGTGAACTTGTATGTTCGTAAACGCACCCACGACACAGGAGAAAATCCTAGTGTGGGGCAACGTGTGTTTAGAAAACTTTATAAACTTTAAGTTAATTTCTTAAGTAGTAAAACAGGCCTTTTTATTCTCGTAAGTATTTCTTAAAGATCGGCATTTAATTAAGAAGTACGTAAATCCCATACGCATATAATGATTTATGATTATACTCTTTTTCTATCTATATCCCAAATTACAACAACATTTTTCTTTAATCATTCTCCCTAAACGCTTCTTATGACAAAAAGTCGTAACACCCATGACCTAGGAAACAAAATTATTCCAAAATCAACTCTAACCCCTAGAAAATAACTCACAAATCTTTACAGTACTATCAGAGCGTCCAACAGAGGAAAGTACCGGCAATGCGCGCGTGTTCTTCGGTCTAGCAGAGACCAAGCTGTACGTGGTGGTCGGCTGCGTGGCGGCGCTCGTACTGGTCGCGCTGCTGCAGGCCGCCTGCACCGTCTACCGGACCAGGAGCAACGCTGTACAGACTAAGGTGACACTTTTTTTTTAATCGGGGAAACTCATCGAATGACTGCTCCCGCCTGGGTGAGGCGGGAGGGAGTGTCAGACTCTTACTGACTAAAAACCACCCCGTTCCTTCTCCTGCACGTCGAGCCGGAGCCCCGGTTACCCGTTAGGTTCTCCGCGACTCCGAATCGGCAGACTAAGGTGAGATAGGTATATGACCATCGCTACTCTCGTCGTGGGTGTCGTAAAATACTATTACATATTTGACTGAGACCGGGCAGTGGAACCTGAACCGTTTAAAACGCGATCTCCAACCCTGCCTGCCAGTTGTGGAGATTATAATATTTCATCTACCTTTCTCTGGAAGAAGTATCTAAATGTACATAATTGGGTAGAAACTTTCCTTAATCAAAAATAAATTATTTCGACTGTTTAATACAATAAAATGTTAAAAAATAATCACACTTTTACTATTTGATTTTACGACCAACTTAATTTTAGAATTTTTTCCAGCAAATTTTTAAGAAATAAGTGTATTATTTGACGCTTAAAAAAACGTGACGTCACAATGCACAATCTCGTACAAAATTCATAGAAAACTGTCGTTTTTGACAGTTCGAAAAAAGTATTGAGTTTGACTAGTTGGCAAGTACACAATTATGCAATTCTGAATGGTTGAAAAAGATGTTAATTTTTTTAATGTAACAACATTAGCTACTTATGTTAAAAATCCCATAGAAGAGAGTTGTGAGTAACCAACCAATAAGATAACTTAACATATGAAAATGAAAAAAAAAATTTTTATAACATCACGCCATTTTGTGCCCAAAGGGATAGGCAAAGGTGTACATTACGGCACTTAATGCCACTGTACAATATAACACCCACTTTTCTTTCACTATTTATATTATGAGTCCCATGTAATAGGGAGTGAGCCTATTTCCAGGCTGGGATTTTTTTTTAAACCCAGTCGTAGTATTTTGTTCGACCCGGGAACAGTCGCATTTGCGACCACTCGGCTAACGCGGCAATCATATCGAAGTCAGTACGAATTTTCAATACAATAGATAACGAAAAACTAATTTATTAACTTTCCAGGATCAACTAATTCCAAGCTCAGCCTGGAAAGACTATTCATCAGCAAACACCAACTACGCATTTGAACCATTTGAAAACGACGACAAATACAACAGTACCACATCAACAGCTCCATTACGTCACAGACAGACCCCGCTAAGACCCACAGACCCGCCCCCACCCCGCCCCGGCAGTGCCAACAAAACCCCAACAAAACCCAAGTCAAACGGGGTCAATGGGCAACATGGGGTCAATGGGCAACATGGGGTCGTTGGACAACATGGGGTCGTTGGACAACATGGGGCCAATGGTCACGACATGAGACACGGGGTCAATGGACACGGTACTAATGGCCGTATGACCCCGAAGCACCAGAATAGTGCGGCGCAGTACTATCATGAGACCAGGTCGTTGCAGCGGCCTAGGGGAGGGGGACAGTATGGGTGAGTTTATTTTAGTTTTATTTTTTTAACACATTAAACGCCATAGGGGTGATGGCGACCGACGTTAGCGGAGAATTTGCCTTCATCAATTTTCTATTGGCAGTCAAAGCCTTTACCGACTTCCCAAAAAGGAGGAGGTTCTCAAATAGGTAGGTAGGTTTTTTTTTTCATATTACGCCGAGGTTTATTGACCGATTTGCGTGATATTTTTTTTTTTCGACACGGAATGTCTGAAATTTTGTCCCATAATTTGTTTTTATATGGACAGAGGTGAATGCAATAGTTAAATAATCATTTTTATTATCATAATCATTATTGAACGAGTTCGACACTGAGTTATTTTATTACAGACTCAGTGCTAGGGAGGTGTTATTAGGCGATTGAAAGTCAAATAATATTATTTTCTTAGTTATTATATCACATTTGCACTCTTTTTTGACAATAGTGTAACTAAATTATGAGAAATAATAGCGTTTGGCTGCCTCGGATCACATCCCGGTATAAATCACTCAACTATTAAAAAGTTCGTCAAATCAACACAATCTAGTTGAAAATTACAAAACAAAACATATTTACTAAAGAAATTATCACCCCTGCAACAATACAATATTCACCCTTAATACTACTAGATTAAAAACCATTTTGAATTTTTATTTCTAATCGGAGGGTGAATTTGAAAAGGGTTAGATGTGTCCATAGCATACAGTTCACATTTTCGACGGCGTTTACACAGACCGTGTGGCCTAATGGATAAGGCGTCGGACTTCGGATCCGAAGATTGCAGGTTCGAGTCCTGTCACGGTCGACAAGCAACTTGAGACAAATTCATTCAAGTTGCTTACAAATTATGCTTTTTGAATATTTATTTGCAGTTTTTTTTAATTAAAATTGAATATTTTTTGGTATTCAGAAAAATTTTTCAATAAAATACCTAGTAAAATTCTGAAACCTAACGTAATGTTTTTGATGAAATAATTAATTTGATAAATAAACTCATGCCTTTGCCCTACGGGGTAGACAGAAACTACAAATTCATAAAAAAAAAACATTTATAGTCTGTGCTTAACATACACAGATAAATTCACTCATATCAACTTTACAAGCAATACAATTATTAAAAACTTAAAATTACAATAAATCACCATCATTCGATGACACAACCTCGCCATTAAAATCAACTAAGTATTTAAATATGCAAATCAATATTTGTGTAAGCACATTCATTTATTTTACATCTTATAAACACTCGCCTCACTTATTGGTTGAAAAACAAGTTATTATGTATAAATATCTATCTAAAGTATGTCCTAAAAATTATCACCTCCAATTTCGATGACGTAATACCGATCCCCAAGTCAATTGCCAAACGTGGGGATAGGTGAACATCTCTACAGAGTAATATAAACGAAGATCTTTGTCCTATTAAAATCTCCGTGATCTAATTGCAAAGCCATGAAAAACAATTTTATGAAAGTATCTGTTAAAATCTTTTTAAAATGCGATATATCTGCTATTCCCACGCCGCGCGCCGATCCCCAAGCAAACTATCAAGCCTGGTGATATACGATCACAGTGAAACCCATGTTAGAAACCTGCTATGCTTCCTTTTCCTAGTTAATGATGATTTTTTTCCTTTATTCTGTATCGTATTCGTTTCCGTTTCCGTGGGATAAAAGGTCTACCCCTGTTGCAGATTTCATCCCGATCATTTCAACCATTTTGGTGTGATTGAATAACAAATCTACATACAAACTAACAAATTTTCGCATTTATAATATTCCTCATACTAATATATATGCATAATCAATACATAGTATAAAACAAAGTCGCTTTCGCTGTATGTCCGTATGTATGCTTAGATCTTTAAAACTACGCAACGGATTTTGACGCGGTTTTTTTTAATAGATAGAGTGATTCTTAAGGAAGGTTTGTATGTATAATAAATGCATATTGCACCCGTGCGAAGCCGGGGCGGGTCGCTAGTTATGTATATATATAAAAATGAATCCCTTTCTCCCTTGGTCACGGCATCACGCGTGAATGGCTGGACCGATTTCACTAATTCTTTTTTTGTTGTATTTGTTATTATTTAGGAGAAGGTTTTTAAGACAGAAAAAGTCCTAAAAATCCTACGGGAACGGGAGAAAACGGGATTGCGCGTACGAAGTCGCGGGCAGAAGCTAATAATAGACAATTAAATCAATTTTTTCACACATTACAGCTACACCGGTCGTCCGGACCGCGAGCGAGCGACATACTCTCTCCCGCGCGGCGCCCGAGGCCCGGAGCCAGGTCTCTCCGCCCACCCAGACTTCTACTTCATGCCCTCACAACGCAAATACGAAGGTGAAGTAGTCAAAGTATACGTAGACTATAGAGACAGACAGTAGTCTTGTAGCGGGGGTAGTACACACATCAAGTTGTACAATACCAGTATATATTGACCGTTGAATGTGGGGAGAGATCATACTAGGGGAGACCAAGATAAACTGGTTTTTATAGCTTGATGTGCAGCTGTATCTATTTATGTTAACACTAAGGGCTCGTACACAAAACTGCGCTGCGATGGGAATTCCCAACGCAAAAATGTACGATGCGATTTCTTGCGACAAGGCTCCCAGGGTGACCATTCCTAACCGTACTAAACGTATTTTAAATTGAAAACTAGGTCGTGACATGGATCGTTAAAAGAAGTGTGCTCTTACTGACTAAGCTAGGAGCTGAGGTAGCTTTTCCGCTATCCCGGATCGAGCGGTAATATAGCAAATAAAAGATGTGCAGTTATTGGTCATTCAAGTTACAGCTACATTGACCGAATAATTATGAGCTCACGCTACATTAGCGCCATCTAGGCAGGCATCATTACTAAAAATGTTGGATTTTTTTTTCTTCTTTGGCAACCGAGTCTCCAAACTGGTGTTGTCGACTATACTGCCAGTGTCGATGTCGAATTTTTATAGTTTTTTGAGATCATTAGAATAACATTTTTAACAACTGAATTATTTTTTAATTACATTTTTATTAATAAAATATTGCTTATTTTCTCACAGTTACTTACGCTTTAAGTACAAAATTGGATAAATAATTATTAACATAAGAATAGAAATGAATTTATTATTAAATTTTTAGTTTTTAACTTTTAATTTGCTTATAATGCATTAAAGTGCCAGTATTTATTAATGCCAGTGGTAATTATTAAGCTGAATACAAGTTAATATTATTATTAATACAAATTAATGTAATACTGTTGTAATAAGATTGTAGCTAGTTTTAGTTGGTATTTTATATATGTCAAAAAGCGCCTATTTTACGTTCCAATATATATGTTATCAAAGTCAAAGCATTTATTTTAATTCATTCTTAATTAGACACTTATGAAACATTACAATTGAATTGTCAGTGAAGCTAAGCGCTCGTTCCAAAATGTAGATTCGAATGGAGGGGAACGATAAAGAAACTCCATCCGTTACTCTTTATTTACATGTTTATATAAATTTTGAGCATACATAGGTATATTTTTACATATAACATAGGCGCTTTTTGACATGATATAGAAAATGAAATATTGGGACACTGCATGTAATATTTTGTAGTTAGTTATGCCTAAATATGTTATATTATTATATAATATACAGTTAAGAAAAGACGACTAATGATTTATTTTTCAATTATATAAAAATCTATATGAAAAATGTTGTTGCTTGCACACTAAGATTCTTGTCTTGACTGTACGTTTTGCTTTAGAGCTGCATGGGACATTATTAACAAATAAATATATTTTCTTCAGTTTATAAAATGACTGCACGTTTACAGGTGGCTGGGCAACCGGCTGCCGCACAACCTGAAGCGGGGTTTGAATCCCGCACGGAGCAACTCTTTGTGTGATCCACAAACCGTTGTTCCGGGTCTGGGTGTCATGTGTATGTGAACTTGTATGTTTGTAAACGCACCCACGACACAGGAGAAAATCCTAGTGAGGGGCCCATATTTTTTTTAAAAAACCTATCAGTGTCTGACTGGATTCATAAAATCGATTGCACTGTATACTATAGTACTTATATGGTTATACTAGCTTATGCCCGCGGCTTCGCCCGCGTTCCCGTGAAATAAAAAGTAGCCCTCGATCCCTTCAGCCGTTTTGATGTCAAAGAGTAACAGACACACACACATACATACATCCTCACAGACACACACACACACATACATCCTCACAGACACACACACACATACATACATCCTCACAGACACACACACATACATACATCCTCACAGACACACACACACACATACATCCTCACAGACACACACACATACATACATCCTCACAGACACACACACATACATACATCCTCACAAACTTTTAAGCAATATTAGTGTACGTAAGCCAGATTACAAAATAAATCTTATTACCTAAAGAAAGTCTAAGTTTATATAAAACCTAAACTAAATACAAGCCTGTGTTTCAGGTTAAAAATGTGCTGACACATTTACAATACAATAACATTGCTTTTGAAACTAAAAAATAATGGCTAATTATTAAATATCTAACGTATTTATTTGCTAATAATGTCCCGCTTCTAACCACAGCACGTAGTTTGAGTAGCGGCATGTGCGCATGCGTTGTTTGGCTTACCAGTGCACTTGGAAATCACCTGTACAAAATTAAATATAATGGTCGTATGAAACTTACTGAATACTTAAAATACCTCTTTTTGAGTCGGTAAAATCATCCGATGATTTGCCCCACCTTGGGTGACGCGCGAGTGTCAGACTCTTACTGACTAAAAACCACCCCGTTCCTTCTCCTGCACGTCGAGCCGGAGCCCCGGTAACCTGTTAGGTCGCCCGTAGCTCCGGAATACTTAAAATATCTAATTTGTTTTATACTTAACTGTTTCTGAAGTCAAAGTCATTTATTTTTATTATTTCACTTAAAGGCCGACAAGCCTTGAGCAAGAATGGTGATTAACACATTAAACGCCATAGGGGTCACCGGTGACCGACGTTAGCAGAGGATTTGCCTTCAACAGTTTTTTATTGGCAGTCAAAGCCTTAATGCTCAAACCTTCTCCGTGTGAGATATGCGTTCTTTGGTCCTTTTTTTTGTTTACATTTGGTCACTGTTGACCAAGGGTTATCAGTAGACACTTATAGGCTGTTGATGTGACATGATGCTTAGGCATTTATGAAACGTAAAAATAGAATTATCCGTCAGTGGTATTTTAAAAATGTAGATATAATCTTCAATTAATTATATTGTTATCTGCGATTTTAATTAACTCTTTTTATAAAAAATTTGCAGCAGTAATAAATAATTGTTAGGATGACGCAAGTGTATAGTTTTTTTGACATGTTCGTTCATCTTCCGTCGTGCATGCAATCTCGAAATAGAAGCGAATTATTTTTTATGATAATAATGAATTAAGAAAAATAACTCCTTTGTTTTTACAAGTTGTTTTGTTCAGGAAGTTTTTACGACCGCTGTAAATTAAGGCTTTTTTAATTACGATTTATTATTAATATACTTACTTATTCTATTTCTATATAACCTTACTATGTATTTGTAGTTCAACCAAATTACTAGAAGTTTACATTTGAAAAAAAAATTGAATTAAAAAAATATTAATATAGAGATGTTACTTTATGCCAATGATTTGTTTTTTACAGATTTTTGATGGGGACTACGGTGAATTCAGATAAAATAATTAGTTACCAACAATAAATTTTCTTACATATATAAAAGCACCGATTTGTTTTTAAGATATATCTTTTTATATATATTCTCACAATAATTATAACTTAACATATAAATAAATATTATTTTTATATTTTTTATTTCAAACCAGATCTAGTCTCATGTCACAGTTTTAAAAAAAGTAAGTTATTTTCACTTCTTAATTATAATAAAAATAATTTGTACTTAATTATTTTATTTTTCTTCTTATTACTTACAAAAAAAAAAACAAAGTTGTAAATAGTAATTTGTAAAATGATTTCGCTGTAAATTGCACAAAAGCTGTTTGAATAAGTTTGACGAATAATTTTATTTAATTATAAGATTTTTTTGGAATAACATTAGACAGTACCTAGACAAATTTTTATTTGCTGTTCATTAAACTGATTTTCACTTCTATTGCTTAAGCAATAAGGTTCACGATTTTTTATTTAATTACAAAATAATATAAAAATTGAAACGGGTTTATGAAACTGTCTGATGGAATTTCTGATAGAATTTAGTTTTAATAAAAATAACAAATCATTAGAAAAAGGACACCACCTATGTTGTGTTAGGTGAACGAATTTAAGTATAATTCTAACTTAAAAATGTATAATTAAGTATAAAAAAGGTTTATAATTAAAATTATAATTTAATTATAAGTAGCCTTTGTATAAAAGCCTTATAGGGTAATTATAAGTTTTAAAAATTAATTATAAGTTTAAAATTCCGTCCCGATATAATTAATTGTAAAATAACCGAACATGAAGTATTACAACGATGTAGAAGTAAGTGTTTACGGTACCTAAGATTTAGAAATGAAATAAAATATTATTTTTTATAAATATTTATCTTGTTTTATTTATATTTTAAGTTACTTCCCTTTGTATGAACCTGTTGTCTGTCGATATGTGAGACACAATAGAAAGCACATTGTGTCTCGCGTAGATTAATTATTATTGACTGCCTCGTTGAGCAAGGGGTCTCGGGTTCGATTCCCGGGTCGGGCAAACTATTACTAGGTTAGTCTGGAATTGTGCCTGGTATATGGCCATAGACTCACTCCCTATTACATGGGACTCATATCATAAATAGTGAAAAGTGGTAATAAGTGCCGTTTTAGGGAACAGAGAATATATGTAGTTCCTTAAGATCGGAAAAGGAGGATCCTCCGACCAGGCGAGGTGATCGTGCCTGGCGGACTTTCTGCCCAACAGTTGTTCGTTGGGATTTTCTATCCGTGTTTATTCGCTTGTAAACTTTGCATGTGCGATGTAGGATTCTTGTGACGTCATCCGTTGACATGTGGCATGCGTCGCCACACCGTAATAAGCACCTCTGCCTACCCCTTTGCGGATAAAAGGCGTGAGGTTATGTTATGGTTATGAGTATAATTATTAAACTGTCAAACACCGCGAGGACACCGGTGACCGCAACCTATTGTTTTTTAATTGTGTCTATAATGACGGTACTCAACGAGTTAAGTCAGATTTGGAGGTGGCAGATTCGATTTCTGGCTTAAGTAAAGTAAAACAGATCATCTACATAGGTGTATAAAAACTCAAATAAACAAAGCATACTCAGAATTTAATAGAGAAAACATCTTATTGCGAGTAATTAAAACAAACAAATCAATTGTCAAGTTTTATTATAAGTTTAAACTGTCAAACACCAAGCGGTCACCGGTGACCGCGACCTATTGTTCTTTAATTGTGTCTATAAAACCGGTACTCGACGAGTTAATACAAGTTTCACAATGTCATCCCCGTAGAATACTGTCCTTGTTATGTTATACAGGTAATTAAAAATAATATAAAAATACATAATTATAAGAGTCGTTCAAAGGTTGCATCTAACGCCTCTCACTTGCTTTGTTCGAATTCGCATGAGGTCCTGAAATTACATAGAATAAAAATATTATATTACCATATTGATTATGACTGCCTCGTTGGCCGAGTGGTCACAACTGCGACTGCCGGGTTTGATTCTCGGGTCGGGCAAAGTATTACTGGGTTTTTTAAATATTCTCAGTAGTAGCACGGAGTCTGGAATTGTGCCTGGTATATGGCGATAGGCTGACCCCCTATTACATGGGACTCATAACATAAATAGTGAAAAGTGGGTGTTACATTGTACAGTGGTATAATGTGCACCTCTGCCTACCCCTTCGGGGATAAAAGGCGTGATGTTATGTTAATGTGATTATGACAGTCGTCATAGCTAGACAGAGCTTTAAGGTCTCAGCCACGAAATTTGCGGGCAGTGGCGCGGCGGCGGGCAGCGAGCGATGCACTCCAGTCAAGCGGTGCCCGCAAAATTAGAGGCAGAGGCCTAAAAATGTAAAGCCTAGTTTGCTCTGCGTTTAAAGTAATCGAAACGACATCGCGTTGGGCGCTCTCATTAGTTGGTTTGGTATATTAGAGCCGGCCAATCAGAGCGTCAAACGGTGTCTCGTTTCAATTACCTTAAACATAAAATAAAATACTAGGCCCTCTGACATCAGCCCTAATCAATAATGTAGTGTCGCATTTCAGATAGCACTTCAATTTTACATTTTACAAATGGACCCATTTTAGGATTTCAGGCCAAGATCATTCCCATCCTATTCATCAATCAGTAAATATGTCCTTGCTAGGGATGTGGTTGCTTAAGGGGTTGCTTTATCTAGGTGGTTCGAAAATTTCGTTACTTATTTAAATAAGTAGCTAGGACCTCTAGTTTTCCAGATAGTTCCAAAAATTTTAATGGATTGGGACAATACATATCCCAAGCTATTCGTTCCTCGAAGGATGTTGGTCAGTCTTTTATATCATAAATCGGCTCATGCCAGGCATTCCCACCCTGTCCATGAAAAAGGAAAATATGACTTCTAGGTTTTATCTTATTGAGATTTTTTATTGATTACAAAATTTTCAAGCGGATTTAGTAAGACGTATCTAATCCTAAGTTCAATCCTTAAATAAACCGTGATATTGATATCCATTTTGTTTTCGTCCCGCGCCAAAACAACTTGCCATGAGGAATACTTTCGATGTATAAAGTAAAAACAAAAAAAGATGTCATTTCTTCTTTAGTTTCAAAAAAAATTCATGGAAATACGCACATGAAACACTAACGTTTTGTAGGCTAGGCACTATTCGCATCGCACGTGCCACACTTTTGTTTTTTGTGTATGTAGGTACTTATAAGTATAACTAAATACTTTAATACTGAAAAGTTTATTCTAAACAGAGTCTTATGAGAACACAGCGTGACGCTGATCAAAATTCCCACCAGAATCGCGCAGTACAACTCTTTGCGCGGGAACTTTACTAATCTGTCACATTTGACAGATGACAACGTCAACATGACAGCTAGTGCTGTCGATAACATATGTAGATTAAACTAGTGAAGTTCATTTAGTCGATTTTCATCGTCTAACACTACATAAATAAATATTATCGTAGAATATTAAAGTAACTCACAACATAGCTAAGGTCTCCGCCTCGCCTCTTGAGCTCTGCCTCCATGTGTGCTGCGATACCTTGTTGCGGAGTGCCGGCCACGTCAATATAGTGACACTTACTGCTCGCGTAGTGACAGGTCATCGCCTTGCGGTATGACTGTGGAATATAGTGGATCTATCATAAATAGTCCATCAAAGTCCATTAGGTACTGCATTATGATCCACTTCTGCACCATGAAAGGACTTTCTCGGATCTGATTGAAACAAAAATAATCTCGTAGCTTGAGAGATAAATGGGAGATCAAAATCGGACAGCCACGCTTCGGCACGAATGTGCCGGTTCGACCGGAGTGATACCACGGCTTTACAACCGACGTGAAACCACAATTGCGTTGTATTTCGTCGTGTGTCGTGAGGTTACCGGAGGCCCAATCACCAAACTTCCCAATTCCCTGAATCCCCAACAATTCTCAAATTCTTAATCACCAAAAGGCCAGTAACGCAGTTGTAACGCCTCTTGTGTTTCGGCTGTCCATGGGTGACTCCAATTGCTAACCATCGGGTGATCCGTCTGCTCGTTTACCGGCTTATCCCATAATAAGCAAAGGCTCCAGTTTATCGGAGAGCGCTGCTGACAGAGGAAAGAAAGCAAAGTCCTTTAAAAATCACTGTTTCATCTGGTCAGTGAGTGTCCCGGATGCTCAGCAAACAAATTAAAAATGGTACCTAAAGGTGGCAATGCACGTATTACAGATTACCATCAAGTTTGGAGATTAGGAGTCAGATAAGGCTACGGTGACCACTTTTATCAGTCAGTTCGCAAACTTTATTGCTATGGATGTCATGGTGGCCCGGAGGTCTAGGACGCCCGCTTCTCATGCATGATTCTTCTGATGCATACGGGTTCGGTACCTATCAACGGCAAATACCTACCAATGTGACTTTTTCCGAGTTATATTTACTTTCTAAGATTATCTAGACACCACTGACAAACGGTGAAGGAAAACATAGTAAGGAAACATGAGCTTATAATTTCTAATTATAAGTTTGTAATCGCCAATCCGCATTGAGCAAACGTCGTGATTAATGCTCAAACCTTCTCCGTGTGAGAAGAGGCTTCGCTGAGCAGTGGGCATTTATAGGCTGTTGATGATGATGATGATTGCTACGGATAGGATATAGGTAAGTAGTAATGAAGAAAAATTGTACAGCTTGTCTTACATTAGAGATATTAGGCCTGGACCCGTGCACGATGGTAGACACGAAGAAGGCGGTGTCTCCTGGTTCCATATCAAGGTAGACTCGTTTGTGCTCAGGTGCTAATAGCTTGTCCTCCACGATGGTGTAATAAAACAGCTTGGCTTCCTGTAAACAGGACATTATAACATTTTTTTTAAGGGAGAACGTCATCGAATGACTGCTCCCGCCTGGGTGAGGCGCGAGGGAGTGTCGGACTCTTACTGACTAAAAACCACCCCGTTCCTTCTCCTGCACGTCGAGCCGGAGAAGAAGAGCCGGTAATCCGTTAGGTTCTCCAAGGGCTCTTCAAGTGACTTATTTATGTATGACCACCATCTTCATCCATTTTAAAAAATATCTTGATTAAATTGGTCATGAGGAATATCAGGATAAAGAGTAGCTCCTGCTTAAGTACTATCTGAAATTAAAGCTTTCCGATGGTGAAGTAATTTTTCAAATCGGTTCAGTTCCAATAAACAATAACGGCTGTTGAATAATAATAACGGCTTACGATTTCAAAGTGAAGGAGACTTTTTGGGATAGTTTTTTTTTTCTAAAGAGTGTGAGAGAGCGGTAAGAGTAAGTTAGAGAGAGATAGAGAAAGCGGATTATTTTCCAAAAAATGCTACAGTATAACTTACGTCAACTTGATCTTTATGTTCATGCAAGATATTTTGTTTGTGTGAGCCGGGCACCATATAGAGGCAGCCGTTGTCTCTGGTCACCGGGTCGATGGCAGTCCACGTCGCTATTATCTTGTCTGCTGGACGGAACGGGAAGTATAACAGGTCCTGGAATTAACTTCTTTGTAAAATATGCAGCATTGCATTATCTTTTTTTAAAGGGATAAGCCGGTAAACGAGCAGACGGATCACCTGATGGTAAGCAATCAGCGTCGAAACGCCTAAAGCGTTACAAGTGAATTGGCTTTTAGGGATTAGGAATTTGAGGATTGTTATGGATTCAGGGATTGGGGAAGGGATATCAGAAAGCCTATTTTCGTCCAAAGCTAGCTATGTAACTCTCCAATTGCGAATACCACTGAGCGTTGATCTTCGGTTCTTTGTCAGCTAACCAAGTGTTACATGTCTGTTTAGTCTGTATCATCACTAATTAGTAATTAGTGGCCCCCTCACTATAATGTGTTATATAAGGTAGAACACTTGTCATTAACGCCGCTGTCTACCTGTCATAGTCTAAGTGTGTGTACACGTCGTGCGCCCTGCACATTATAATAATAAATCCAAGTATAATATGTAAATCCGTCTACAATTTATTAATCCACCAACGTAACACCAAAAACATTTGTTTTGTTTATTGGGGGAGAACAGATCAACTTCAAACATTTTATGGTAGATACAATTTTTATTTAAATTGAACGAGAATTCCACGCTACTGTTGGAATCTAGCCTAAATTATTACGTTCACTATTAAAGAAAGACTTTCTTCGCTTGAGAGGGTTTTACCAAAACTCCTATGGTTGGTCGCTCGGAGATTACAGTTACACCGAACAGTTGAAGAATGTTATTGCCCATCTCTTTTCACGGTTTAGCTAGTTTTTACTTGTAAGGTCTTAATGGTAGCAAAGTCAATATATGCTAAGAGATGTTGAGCTTAACCAGGGCCGTCTTAGACTACGCTGGGGCCTTTGGGCACATAACAATTGCGGGCCCTTATGGAATGTTCCTTTTTTTAACATTGCCCCACACTAGGATTTTCTCCTATGTCGTGGGTGCGTTTACAAACATACAATTTCACATGCACATGACATCCAGATCCGAAACAACAATTTGTGGATCACAGAAAGATTTGCATCGTGCGGGATTCGAACCTGCTTCACGTTGCGGGGCAGCCGGTTGACGTCGGTTGCGTCGTAGAAAATGTCAGTCCTTCGGGGCCCCATGAGGATGGGGGCCCTGGTCCCCGAGTGCCGTTATGGTAAAGACAGTACTAAGCTTACCTGATGTGGTGGATGTTCGCGAGTCCCAGGTGGTTTGTTAATGAGCATAGAGTTGACGGCGGTGATGTCCTCTCCTATCAGCTGCGACACTATGTGCAGCAGGCGAGGATCCTCGGAGTAAGTGCTGTATACCTCGTCGTAGAGTAACTCCTGGATCTGAGGTGATAGAATAACAACCGTATTATCTCTAAGGCAAACTAGGCTTGCCTTAGGTGCCAAGTTACATATGGGCGCCTACTCAACTGCCCATAGAGTGACGATTGCGCGATAAGAAATTAGCGTTGCCTATAAGTGCTCAATTAAATATGATCAACAGTTATTATTACTAACACTAGTTTGTAAGCTCGCAATTGTACTAACACATATGGATGTAAATCTGAAATAAATGATTATTATTATTATATTATTGTCTTTACCATTCACGGGACCACAGGGTCCCGGTCATTTGGGAGGCTTACGAGGGGCCGAAGCCAACTGCGCAGAGGCCCTTTAGACAACTTTAATATAAATGTAATGGACACGATTGTGAAATCTTTGTATATAGGAGCCATAATATAAACAATAACTATAAGGTTGACTGGTACATAATGTCATATGACATTAAATCCGCCTTGTCTGTCTACTAATAATTGGGATGATGACAGCGTATGAAAATTAAAAATCTAATTAGTCCGTAAATTAAGTAATGAAAAAATATTAGACACGTATTTTTTTTATTTTGTCGTATAATAAAACAATACTTATATAAAACGAATCAAAGTTTAGGAGTGGGGGCTAAAATGTCAATTCTACGTATAAAATTTACATAGAAGTGACGTCACGCAACTTTTCAAATCAATATAATCGTCGAAAGTATTCGTTTCTGTAAGAAAATATAAAATAGGAGTCTAACGATTTAAAATAATCTACCAGACGGACATTAAAATAAAACGTAAATACGACGTAAATACATCGGAATAGCGTTTTATGATGCTAAATCAAAGTTTCTAATTCCGAGTACTAAAAAGTAAAAGATTTTTTAATATTATGCAAATAAAATAATGTATAGTTACAATATGAAAGGAAAACAAATATAAAGTACATACATATAATAACAGAACACTTATAAAACCTAATGTCTTCACTAAAATCTTCTATACAACGTATTAATAAAGTACCTGTACAAACAATTTTTGACCTGCTATAATTAGTAAATGCGACGCCACGGCGTACCTCGGAAATAGATTATTAAATGTATGAGTTATTCATTAAGTCAGAACTAACACATTAAAGTTTATAATCATAAAACAGACACCGAAATTTAAAAAAACTAAATGTTTTAAATTTGTTTTTCCGTGGTATACATCGGCTTTTAGGAACACACTAAAATATTTTGCACCTAATGCCGCGGTATTTTAAACACTTATTTTCTTGCTAATTTGCAAATAAAATACTCAAATCTTAAGTGTTTTCGATAAAAAATATTATCCTTTCAATATTTCAACCTAAACGAAAACTCGCGTTGTATAAAATTATTACGTAAAACACTATTTGGCAAATCGTAATTCTCACGTGCATAAGGTCCCAAATGTATGAAGTGTGCTTTCGACGCCGCTCCCCGCGGCAAAATGACCGATTATTTTACAGTGTGACCATACTAAACTCTCCTTTGTATAAATAAATATGAACAGATAATTATTAATTCATTATTTTATCATGCAGACCATAAATAACTAGTAAATTGCTTTAAAAAACTGTTTTTCTAAATACATCGGAATATGATGCCATTTTTAGAACCCCTCGGAATAAGGTGCATTTACCTTAATAGGGTACTTTTTATCCTGAAAAAATTTCATATTCCCGAGGGAAAACAAAAGTATTGGTATAGATGGCGCTGTATGTAGGTAGTGGTATATGTCACAAAGGCTACTTTTTATCCTTTTGTGACGCGAGCGAAGCCGCGGGTAAAAGCTAGTTAACTATAACTATAAGAAATTGCAGTAAGGAACCTTAGACTTGGCACGAATTTGTCTAGACTTCATTACTTTTTAGAGATGAACGAGCGGCTCCGTAGAGACTTGGGTAGTTTTATACAGAATATTTTTGGTTTGATACGTTTTACATAACATCACGCCTTTTTATCCCCGAAGGAGTAGGCAGAGGTGTACATTATACCACTGTCCAATATAACACCCACTTTTCACTATTTATCTTATAAGTCCCATGTAATAGGGGGTGAGCCTATTGCCATATACCGGGCATATTTCCAGACTCCGTGCTACTACTGAGATTTTTTAAAAACCCAGTAATACTTTGCTCGACCAGGGAATCGAACCCGAGACCCCTTGCCCGGCAGTCGCACTTGCAACCACTCGGCCAACGAGGCAGTCGGATACGTTTTATTTATATTTTTATGTTGTTTTAATAAATATTCACATTACTAGACGTTCGAATTATTTTTGTAAGTGTGCCTTCTATTTGTCATTCATGTACCTAAACAGACTTCACGAATATGTAATTTGTTGAGTTCAAGTTTATATGCATAACTGTAGGTAAAGCGATCACGGTTATATTCAAACAATTAAAATTGAGCATTATGCTAATATAGACCCAAATAGAAATCAAATAAAGCAGTGGTTCCCAAAGTTGTCTGGACTTTATCGTCCAATGACTTCTCCTGCCCGAGAGAGTGTCAGACTCTAACTGACTAAAAACCAACCCGTTCCTACTCCTGTACTTCGAGCCGGAGCCCTGGTAATCCGCTAAGTCCTCAGCCGCTCAAAGTTGTATGGACTACGATCTATCTAAATCAAGTTCTCGAACTCAGGACTCAGGAATAGCCGTATAAAAAACTAAATACAGGACGGTTGACTAGTGTGTCTTTCTACAGACGACATAACTCATGTTATTATAAAAGGCGTCATCGCCTTTTTATCCCCGAAGGGGGATGCAGAGGTGTACATTATGCCACTGTACAATGTAACACCCTCTTTTCACTATTTATGTTATGAGTCCCATGTAATAGGGGGTGAGCCTATTGCCATATACCGAGCACAGTTCCAGACTCCGTGCTACTACTGAGAATTTTTAAAAACCCAGTAATACTTTGCCCGACCCGGGAATCGAACCCGAGACCCCTTGCCCGGCAGTTGCAATTGCGACCACTCGGCCAACGAGGCAGTCTCTTTCTACAGGCGAAACTTACTGAAAATTTGCAGGCGAAACCCATAGTTTGGGAAACTCTGAACCTGAACGAAAGGTCACAGTCATTTGTTTTTAGCTCGACCGAGTACCGTTTGTAATTACGTATGTAAATTGTTATTGGATACTACTTTGTTTAAGTAGTTAAAAATGGTTTCCTTGTTCCTTTAGCAATCCAAAAATAAAAGGAATACTCGTACATGGTTGTAGCGGAGATAATTATAACCAGATAAGTACTAGAATAACTAGGTATTAATATTAAAAACAGTGATTTTCCTCAAATGACGAAATAGCAGTAAAAAATTTAGAAAAACTTCGGACCGATGGTAGCGTCATTACAATCACACTGATATTATAAATGTAAAAATTTATTTGTTTAGATTTTCGTCCGTCAATCACGCTGAAAGTACTAAACGCATTTTGATGAAATTTGGTATACAGGCAGGGTATGGGCTGACTTAGATGATAGGATACTTTTTATTAAATGCTCCCATGGGATAAAACAGGAATCATATTCTACGCGGGCGGCAACAGGTGCCTAGTTAATAATAATTTTATTAGCCTATGGGCCCTACCTTCGCGGGTCCCTTCTAAGTAGGTAGTCTTAAGGTGTCTGTCTTTACCTTATTGATGAAATCCTCAGCTTTGGTCTGGTTCTTGCACAGAGCTCGATCCTTCATGACGGTAACACGACCTTTCTCCACACGACCTTCACACACATCCGTGAAACGTTGCCTGGAAGCAGACACAATGTATGAAACACACTCACATACCTACTCACTTTTTCTTTTCTTATGATATTAAAACAAGTGAATTTATTTCTGCAAATAGGCTACAAGGCAGCACTTTTACACGTCAATTTTATCAAGCGAACGATGAGGCTGACATTTCCTAACTGACTACTCTGAGAAGAAATGCCGAAATGAACTCAGAGGTCTGTCTCTTTTAAAGTCCAGACAATATTATGTATAACAGATTATGTGTGAGAACCGTGCAAGTTCCTTCTGTAGTGGCCTTTTGAGGAAAGAACCACAACAGTTTGAGCGGACCCGTTCTGAAGGCAGTCCGCATGACTGTGTCGGTTTTCAATCAGCTCAATTAACAAGTGAGGCTGACTGATCCGACCACAGAACATATAAAGTTCTGTGGATCCGACGAACAATACCAACCTAAAGAATATTTGCGTGGGTCACACAAATACTCAAACTAATTACTTACTAATTACTCAAAAAATTAACTTGAAGAAAGAAAGGAAGAAAGAAAAAACTTTATTTCACACGCTAAAACAGGTGACACATACAGATTTTCCACTTATGTTTATATAATATTATAAATATCTCCTAATTTCCCAAGTCTGCGGTGAAATGGGACCGGTTCAGCATGTGCAAGACAGGGCTGGATTTAGGGGTCCAGAGGCCTCGGGGCAACAAAGAAGTGGAGGCCCCCTTGCCCCAAATTATTTTCCAGATTGAGATCGAGGACGCTCGCTTGATTTCGAGGACGCTCGAAAACGATCGAGGACGCTCGATTGATTTCGAGGACGCCCGATAGATTTCGAGGACGCCCGATAGATTTCGAGGACGCTCGAAAACGATCGAGGACGCTCGATAGATTTCGAGGACGCTCGAAAACGATCGAGGACGCTCGAAAACGATCGAGGACGCTCGATAGATTTCGAGGACGCTCGAAAACAATCGAGGACGCTTGAAAACGATCGAGGATGCTCGAAAACGATCGAGAACTCTCGATAGATTTCGAGGACGCTCGAAAACGATCGAGGACTCTCGAAAACGATCGAGGACTCTCGATAGATTTCGAGGACGCTCGAAAACAATCGAGGATGCTCGAAAACGATCGAGGACGCTCGAAAACGATCGAGGATGCTCGATAGATTTCGAGGACGCTCGAAAACAATCGAGGACTCTCGATAGATTTCGAGGACGCTCGAAAATAATCGAGGACGCTCGAAAACGATCGAGGACGCTCGATAGATTTCGAGGACGCTCGATAGATTTCGAGGACGCTCGAAAACAATCGAGGACGCTCGAAAACGATCGAGGACGCTCGAAAACGATCGAGGATGCTCGATAGATTTCGAGGACGCTCGAAAACGATCGAGGACGCTCGAAAACAATCGAGGACGCTCGATAGATTTCGAGGACGCTCGAAAACAATCGAGGATGCTCGAAAACGATCGAGGACGCTCGAAAACGATCGAGGACGCTCGAAAACGATCGAGGATGCTCGATAGATTTCGAGGACGCTCGAAAACGATCGAGGACGCTCGAAAACAATCGAGGACGCTCGATAGATTTCGAGGACGCTCGAAAACAATCGAGGATGCTCGAAAACGATCGAGGACGCTCGAAAACGATCGAGGACGCTCGAAAACGATCGAGGATGCTCGATAGATTTCGAGGACGCTCGAAAACGATCGAGGACGCTCGAAAACAATCGAGGACGCTCGATAGATTTCGAGGACGCTCGAAAACAATCGAGGATGCTCGAAAACGATCGAGGACGCTCGAAAACGATCGAGGACGCTCGAAAACGATCGAGGATGCTCGATAGATTTCGAGGACGCTCGAAAACAATCGAGGACGCTCGAAAACGATCGAGGATGCTCGATAGATTTCGAGGACGCTCAATAGATTTCGAGGACGCTCGAAAACAATCGAGGACGCTTGAAAACGATCGAGAACGCTCGAAAACGATCGAGGATGCTCGATAGATTTCGAGGACGCTCGAAAACGATCGAGGACGCTCGATAGATTTCGAGGACGCTCGAAAACAATCGAGGACGCTCGAAAACGATCGAGGACGCTCGAAAACGATCGAGGATGCTCGATAGATTTCGAGGACGCTCGAAAACGATCGAGGACGCTCGAAAACGATCGAGGACTCTCGATAGATTTCGAGGACGCTCGAAAACAATCGAGGATGCTCGAAAACGATCGAGGATGCTCGATAGATTTCGAGGACGCTCGAAAACAATCGAGGACTCTCGATAGATTTCGAGGACGCTCGAAAACAATCGAGGACGCTTGAAAACGATCGAGGATGCTCGAAAACGATCGAGAACTCTCGATAGATTTCGAGGACGCTCGAAAACGATCGAGGACTCTCGAAAACGATCGAGGACTCTCGATAGATTTCAAGGACGCTCGAAAACAATCGAGGACGCTCGAAAACGATCGAGGACTCTCGATAGATTTCGAGGACGCTCGAAAACAATCGAGGATGCTCGAAAACGATCGAGGATGCTCGATAGATTTCGAGGACGCTCGAAAACAATCGAGGACGCTCGATAGATTTCGAGGACGCTCGAAAACAATCGAGGACGCTTGAAAACGATCGAGGATGCTCGAAAACGATCGAGAACTCTCGATAGATTTCGAGACGCTCGAAAACGATCGAGGACTCTCGAAAACGATCGAGGACTCTCGATAGATTTCGAGGACGCTCGAAAACAATCGAGGATGCTCGAAAACGATCGAGGACGCTCGAAAACGATCGAGGATGCTCGATAGATTTCGAGGACGCTCGAAAACAATCGAGGACTCTCGATAGATTTCGAGGACGCTCGAAAACAATCGAGGACGCTCGAAAACGATCGAGGATGCTCGATAGATTTCGAGGACGCTCGATAGATTTCGAGGACGCTCGAAAACAATCGAGGACGCTCGAAAACGATCGAGGACGCTCGAAAACGATCGAGGATGCTCGATAGATTTCGAGGACGCTCGAAAACGATCGAGGACGCTCGAAAACAATCGAGGACGCTCGATAGATTTCGAGGACGCTCGAAAACAATCGAGGATGCTCGAAAACGATCGAGGACGCTCGAAAACGATCGAGGACGCTCGAAAACGATCGAGGATGCTCGATAGATTTCGAGGACGCTCGAAAACGATCGAGGACGCTCGAAAACAATCGAGGACGCTCGATAGATTTCGAGGACGCTCGAAAACAATCGAGGATGCTCGAAAACGATCGAGGACGCTCGAAAACGATCGAGGACGCTCGAAAACGATCGAGGATGCTCGATAGATTTCGAGGACGCTCGAAAACAATCGAGGACGCTCGAAAACGATCGAGGATGCTCGATAGATTTCGAGGACGCTCAATAGATTTCGAGGACGCTCGATAGATTTCGAGGACGCTCGAAAACAATCGAGGACGCTCAAAAACGATCGAGGACGCTCGAAAACGATCGAGGATGCTCGATAGATTTCGAGGACGCTCGAAAACGATCGAGGACGCTCGATAGATTTCGAGGACGCTCGGAAACAATCGAGGACGCTCGATAGATTTCGAGGACGCTCGAAAACAATCGAGGATGCTCGAAAACGATCGAGGACGCTCGAAAACGATCGAGGATGCTCGATAGATTTCGAGGACGCTCGAAAACGAACGAGGACGCTCGATAGATTTCGAGGACGCTCGAAAACAATCGAGGACGCTCGAAAACGATCGAGGACTCTCGATAGATTTCGAGGACGCTCGAAAACAATCGAGGACTCTCGATAGATTTCGAGGACGCTCGATAGATTTCGAGGACGCCCGATAGATTTCGAGGACGCTCGAAAACGATCGAGGACTCTCGATAGATTTCGGGGACGCTCGAAAACAATCGAGGATGCTCGATAGATTTCGAGGACGCTCGACAGATTTCGAGTTTAAGAATTGAAGAATACCAATTGTTCACATACTGCAATTAATTTTTTTAATGGTCGAGACACGGAATCGAATAGCTAACCTCCGAGGTTGCGGGCAAGTACCATCCCACTGAGCCATTGAGCCATTGGGGTACAAGATGGGTAGTAAATTAGAAGTGCTTATCAGAGCCATTTGAGATTTTGATATTTCACTGATTGCCTGATTGGAGTGAACAAATATAGATCAATGATTTCTGTTTCTGTTAATATTTAAAATTAATATAATCAAATAATGATGTATGTATAAAGTACTTTAGGCTGTAGGTAAAGGTAAAAGCGAAAAAAAAAATCAAAGAAAAGAAATGTTTACTAGGTTTACTAGTTGAAATTTGAAATTTGTGGAGGCCCCCTGCTTGTGGAGGCCCCGGGGCTTTCGCCCCGGTTGCCCCCCCCCCCCCCCATATCCGGCCCTGGTCCCAAGGAAAACGCTGTATTATTGACAGCCGCGACACAGGCCGTGCCTAGTGCCGTTGTCATTGTATGTACTGCATAAACATGCATGCATTGGGCTGGTAGTAAATAATTTTTATTTATTAAAATGCTTCGATCATTCACATCACGACAACAACCTATAAGTGATGTTTGAGCATTAATCACCGTGCTTGCTCAATGCGTTTTGGCGATGTCAAACTTTTAATTAAATTGTAATAATCGGGAAATCTCGATACGCCTTTCCAGTCGATCACCAAAAACGCAGTTACGCATTTTACTAAGTCTTGTCTTAAATAAATAATTTTTATTTAATCATGTGACCACCGATAGATGGCGTTGTATTTACTTATTAACAACACTATTTATAAAGTTCTTTATATTTATATTTCTGAGTGTGTTTCGGCATTTCTTCTCAGAGTAGTCAATTAGTAAACGCCGAAAAAATCGTTCGCTTAAAATACTGACGTGTAAAAGTGTTGCTTTGTAGCTTATTTGCAGAAATAAATTCACTGGAGCTACAAGAAAAATAAATTAATAATAAAATAAATAATCATGACAAAAATGAGATGATATAATTAGAAGTGACTTAAGTGATATTTTTAAAATTGACTTCTATCAGTAGATAAAAAGTAGCGAAGATACCTATGTGGTATTCGAAACTGTAGTCAACCTGGTTCTCAGACCTCAGAAAGGAAAAATCTCATTCAGGGTACTGGTAATTTTAATTCAAATGCCAAACATCCTATATCAAATTCCAATCGTTTCCATTCAATATTTTTATAGACACTATAGTCAGCATATCTACTTATTTAGTACGTAGGTTAGAAAAAAAGATATCTTTAAGTAGAACATAGACAATTAGCTCTTATTTTTTTTTATATAAGTGATGTGCATTTTTTATATGTTTAGTTTAAGTCTGTTTTCCGTGTCAATTTTCTATTTGTTATGACAAACTGTGTCACCTTTTCCTGCCCCAGGTCCACAGGAAAAAAATCCAATAGGAATAGATGCTACCTTTGTACTTTAATTTTATATATGTGTTGTCCTTTACGTTTTATGTGTGCACATAAATAAATTATACACTTTTATGGTTTTCTTTGAGTTGGGTGTTCATCATCTACACGCAACTCGTTTCAAAAATAATGTTTTTCAAAGAACCGCGCGGTCTGCGGTGGAAACCATCAAACGACAAATGTGTTACATACCGTACATGTTTATATGCTTGGACATAAACGAACTCTTCCCCGACCTAACTAAAATCGTGTAACGAAACCATAGCGCGATTCAGGATTCGAGTCTCAACTAACAGCGCCATCTAGTAGCGGAAATAGAAACGACATTTTAATATTAAATCTCATTGCGTTTTTTCTGTATACTGTGATTTAGGTTAGAATTTATTGTTGAATTCATTTGTTTGTAAAATAAGTTCTGAAGGAAAGGTAGTTTTCGTTTTAAAATGACTTTAAAAATCATGGTTAGTGGCTGTGTACATTTATTATAGCGCTATCTATCGTCGGATTACAAAACTTCCGCACTCGTTCTTTACTATCAAGTGAGTTTGGTAGAACTGAAGGTTTACGCGTAGTTAGAAGCTTATGAAATGATTATTTTGTGTTCTGCGCATCGACTCGCGACAATTATTTAGAGTTTTACTATAAGTGGGAGTAGGTACTATGGGTGGGGAACAGCGTAATATTATTCTACCTACTTACACATAGACACTTTTAATATCCATACAAAGGAGGTTGTAAGGATTTACACAAAGTTATTTAATTTTTTTTATAGATTGTAGCAGGAAGATACCGGCTGATTTAGATGAAAAAATCTGATAGATGCCATAAACCTATTTAAAAATGTAACAATTTTTTTTTATGGCATCCCAGTATTTTTTCTCGTTATATGGCCTGTGACTAGTCTATTTAAAAAATAAGTCCACAGTCCACATAAAAAGTATTTAGTGTTTCTTTTTTAAATGCTTCAAGGACAATGTTCCATGACGAACGAATCAACGAAATAGGTATATATTGCGAGTTTTATATAGATTTAGCAAAATTGTATATTTCTAATCAGTATAATATTATAAATAATATTATTATAAGTATTTGAAAATATATTTTTTTAAATTTTAGTACAAGAATATATTGCAGTTTATAAAAATCGTCAAATGCTGCCAATTTCCATGGAACAATGTTGCCTTAATGGAAAAATAAGAAAGTATCAAATACCAAGATAGGTTGTAAGATGAACTGGTCTATGTAACTTTGGACCGTACCTGTAACTATTTAGAGCTGGAATTCCAATGAGTTTCTTGATGACCAGGTAGCCATTGTCGTTGTAGAACTGAAGCTGCTCCGCCGACAGATAGTATGTGGCCGACGAATCAGAAGACACACTAGAAAAAAGTTATATCGATGACCTATTATTTTTTTCATTCCTTCATAATCATAACACAGTTCATTGTCGCAAATTGCTAGACATTAAGACATAGGTCTCTCCAATAGTACCTACCCTCGTATGATTATTAGCCACTGTGTTTCCTATCTTCAGCAGTTCAGTTTTAATAGGAGGATGTGGAAAATAAAAAAACCGACATGAAAAAAAACCCACAACTAAAAGTAAAAACTAAAAAGCTATAAATAACGTTAATACCGATAGATTACCCACCCACTAATAGGTTAGAAGTCAGTGCCATAAGCTTATATCAAAATGATTTAACTTTCAATGACAGTCACACTCCATCTAAGTGTAAAGTTCTCATCAATTCAAATCAATCAAGCCAAAACACAACTTAGTTAATAATACATGGTATTTAATTTAAACTGTCAAACACCAAGCGGTCACCGGTGACCGCGACCTATTGTTCTTTAATTGTGTCTATAAAACCGGTACTCGACGAGTTAAACCGTTGAACAGTTCCCTCCACTGTCTTTCGGTTCCTAATTGAAAAACATAATAGACGCATTACTCGCCCCTACAATTTACGAAAGTTCTCCTCGATATCTCTGATCTATCATCATCACATTCTGATTTCCTTATCATGGGACCATTCCTTTCCATAATAATTATAAAAATCGGCTTATAAATAATGGAGATATTGGCGGACAAACATAAATACGGTCGAATTGAGAACCTCGTTTTTTTGAAGTCGGTTATAAATAATGACATATTATTTTGTCAATTGCTCACATTTTAGCAGAGCATTAAAAATAAAATAAAGATTTTGCTAAAATTTTTAGAATATTTTTTTATATAATGATTTATATACAGCATTAAATAATTACAATAATTTGTCGTGTGCTTCAGTTTAATTAGTGTCGAAGCTGGTCTGTTTAGAGTACCCAGTGCCCACTTAAAGGTGCTGATGGTAGTTTTAAGGAGGTAAAGAAGCCCACACTCCCTAGTCTCTCTTCCCAAAACCTGGGCGCCTTGCGGTCCCTTCATGTACCTCCATAACTACGTATTCTTCCATGTCCGAAAAAGAAATTACTAGATAATAAAAATATTTAATCCTCACCATTTTGGCATTATTTTAAAATTCCTGTTCGCCATATTCACTGCACTATTTTATTTAATTTTTTGAATCACACACAAAAAACCACAGTTTAACAGTCAATTTAATCTAGAATAAACGTTACTGTTTCAGCGTCGTCATTACTAAAGTACCTACAACCCATTAAATGGTAATTGTACGAATGCAAATAATTTGTGATTAACGGAACATATACATATATTTGTTACAATGAATCATTGATTTAGGGATCCGTAGAACAATGGTCCTCAAATGCCTTATCCTACTAATATTATAAAGACGAAAGTTTGTCACTCTTTGTATGTTTGTCACAAGTTGGTATCTTTGCCTTTTTTATGGCATAAGCCGGTAAACGAGCAGACGGATCACCTGATGGTAAGCAATCGTCGTCGCCCATGGACACCTGGAACACCAGAGGCGTTACAAGTGCGTCACAAGTGCATTTTTTTATGGCATAAGCCGGTAAACGAGCAGACAGATCACCTGATGGTAAGCAATCAGCGTCGCCCATGGACACCTGGAACACCAGAGGCGTTACAAGTGCGTTACCTGCTTTTTGGGGATTAGGAGTTTGAGGATCGTTGGGGATTCAGGGATTGGGGAGATTGGGTAAAGGGAAGGTTTGAGGAATTGGGCGTAATAAAAGGTAATTGTCACGCCAAAACGGCTGAATAAATCGAGATGAAATTTGGACTATGTTTAGATTATGGTTTGGAATAACGCATAGGCTTTTTATCCCACGAAGCTATAAATAAATAGATTTTTATCCGGGGCTCGCGGGCGAAGTCGGTGGCAGAATATAGTAACAAATAAATAAAAAAAATGCAGTTTAAAATTTGCACGATTGTGTTTTAATAACAATAATGGGAAACTAAGAGAGTATTTTATAATCAGTATCTCATATTAAAGAAGATAATTACACTGAGATGTCTATGCGATAAAGTTTTTATAGAGTTAAAATGTATTACATTTATCTTTATTACTCACGTTACTCACTCATGTGAATATACTGAGAAAAGCTCTCCTGGTTTCGTACCGCATTGATCATGAGGAAGAGTGGTTTGAAACTAGTAGAGCTTTTCTCAGTATACACACGTGAGTAACTCGCGATTTTTGCCGGGGCTCCGGCTCGACGTGCAGAAGGAACGGGGTGGTTTTTAGTCAGTAAGAGTCTGACACTCCCTCCAGCCTCACCCAGGCGGGAGCAGTCATTCAATGATTTTCCGCCCTCAAAAAAAACTCGCGATTTTTAGTTAATTTAGTATGTCTCACGATAGTTATTATAAAAACAATTTATATATCTTTTTAAGGCAATTGCATTAGGAGGACTTAATGCTAACAGCATTCTTTGCCAGTCGTTATAATAGATATGTTTACAAAATAACATTCTTAAAGACCGTAATTGTATTGTTAAAAAGTTATTATTTGTATTGATTGTCTATTATGTTCCAATTCGAATAAGGTAATGTACCATTTAAGTTAAAGTTCCTCCATACAGATAGTAAATTCCAACACTGCAGAGATCGCATCACTAAAATTTGGAGTTGTCTGGTAAGAAAAACGTTGATTTTGAATATTGCTGTGTTGTTTTTAACCTGCCTGACTGCCTCGTTGGCCTAGTGGTCACAAGTGCGACTGCCGGGCAAGGGGTCTCAGGTTCGATTCCCAAGTTTGCCATCTCAGTAGTAGCACGGAGTTTGGAATTGTGCCCGGTATATGGCAATAGGCTCACCCCCTATTACATGGGACTTATAACGTAAATAGTGAAAAGTGGGTGTTACATTCTACAGTGGCATAAAGTGCACCTCTGCCTACCCCTTCGGGGTTAAAGGCGTGATGTTATGTTTTTAACCAACCTCAAAAAAGGACGTTATGTATTAGTTTAGTGTATGTGGACTTGTATGGTATGTTTGTAAATGCACCTACGACACAGGAGAACACAATGACGCGGGCACGCTTGAAAAAAAAAAGTAGCTATCGTCACCACACGGAATACATTGAATGATTCTAGAAAAATATTGTTACGTAATACTTAGATATGATACTTAAATTCTGAAAAAAAATAATTTTCAGAATTCACTTAGGTAAGTACATTACAAAGATAAAATAAAAAACAAAACACAATAGATGATTTATTACTATGGAATTAATAATATAATATTTCATAAATACATAGATACTTAAATTTTGCAGCAAGATTGTTGAATAAAAGCTTACTCATTAGTTATGTTATCAGACACCTTGGGGATTGTAGTTAGGTAATCGCATTTAGAGAATTTTTAAGTGTGGGAGAGTCATGCTTAGGCACGAATGGGCCGGCTCGAACGGAGTGATACCACGGCCTCACAGAAAACCTACGTGAAGCAACGCTTGCGTTGTGTTTCGTCGTGTGAGTGAGGTTACCGGAGGCCCAATTATCCTCCCCTTCCCCAATCTCCCCAATCCCTGAATCTCCAACGATCCTCAAACTCCTAATCCCCAAAAAGCCGGTGACGCACTTGTAACGCCTCTGGTGTTCCAGGTGTCGATGGGCGACGCCGATTGCTTACCATCAGGTGATCCGTCTGCTCGTTTTCCGGCTTATGCCATAAAAAAATGCAATTTCTCATAGTTTAAATACATACATTGATACTCGGATTCAAAGTGAAAATAAAAACATCATTCCGCTTCTTTGTGACGTTTGTCTAAGATTACAATAGAGGAACTAAAGAAATAGAAAAATTAAGTAAATATTCATATTTATTTATTTGCATACCATAAAGTGTATTTTCATCCCGATCATTTAGATACGCAAGCTATCAGATTTTTATGTCTTATTTATTTTATCTATACTAATATATATACTAATATATATAAAGAGGAAAGATTTGTACCTACCTATTTTTGTATGTTTGTAATGAATAGGCTCAAAAAGTACTGGGCCAATCACTGAGTATCTTACGCACAAGATATTTTAACATAGCAGCATTTATTTAAAAATTTACCTGTATTAACTCGTCGAGTACCGGTTTTATAGACACAATTAAAGAACAATAGGTCGCGGTCACCGGTGACCGCTTGGTGTTTGACAGTTTAAGTCTTTAAAAAATTGTTACAATTTGTGTTTCATACCAATGATGTATGATACATAAATGAGGTTGACGTTAAAATCTTTTCTGGTTTCTATAATAGTGTTACAATAGCGGCTCGCCCCTGCTTCGCTCAGGCATTATTTCCCGATGTTCTCAAACATGGATGTTTTCCAATCCAGTGCCTTTAGCCAAACGCCACTTTTTTTTTTTAAGGGGGGAAAATCATCGAATGACTGCTCCCGCCTGGGTGAGGCGGAAGGGAGTGTCAACGCCACTTTAGCGCTTGTCTACAGAGAGAGTAGAAATCAAAATGTATGGGGATGACACTGACAAGTGTCAAAATTTACGTCAATTCTATATTATTTTATTTTCTATTCTACATGTGGTATTGGATGAAAAAGGAAATATACAAATTGGTCGAGCAGTTCAGGAGTTATGGACTTACTTACATACATTTCGGCGATTCATTTTTATTTATATAGATAGATTTAAAAAAACTACAAGTTGTATAAAAATATTTATTTTGATATGTTGTTATCACAATATTTATCACTAATGATTTAGAACACAATTTTATTACTTAGATATAATAATATAGTAAATCTAGTATCTAGTATACAATTTGATTGTAAATCTCATTGGCCCATGCCCCTATTTGATTATAAATATAATTTATTAACTTAATTCTTGCATTAGTATCTTAGGGCTTAGTACGATTTTATTAACGTATAGTGCCCGGCTCCAATGAACTAACCAATCAGAGTGCCAAGCACGAATAACTATCGCATTCGTAACGTAATAGTATCGAGCGCGTTCGGCGCTCTGATTGGCCGGCTCAAGTGAACCAACCAATCAGAACGCTTAACTCGCTCGATACTGTTACGATACGAATGCGATAGTTATTCGTGCTTGGCACTCAGAGCGTCTCTCGTTTCGATTACTTTAATCGGAAACAAAATCGTAGTAAGTCCCCTGATTGGTTAACTAATGAAAAACTATATTTATAATATACATAAATATTAACAACAGTTTTATAACATCATAATATAATTATATTATAATTTTTACAATTTTGGACTGATCAGCAGATAGGGTAAAAATATGAATTTTCGGATTTTAACATAAATAATGTAGTAAATGCAGATAATACAACAAGGGTAGAAGTCGAAAAGTAACGTATATAAGGTCACTTTCTTTTCATTAGAAATATTATTTATAAGAAACGAAGTAAGGCTCTAGACAGACGGACCGCATTTCAAATTTTCAACTGCAATCCAACCGCAAATTGTGTGCAATTGAATTGCAAATCAAAGGAGCAGTCCGATTGTAGTTCTATTGCAGTCATGACCAAACTGTTGCAAACCAAACGAGCAGTCCGATTGTAGTTCTATTGAAGTCATGACCAAACTGTTGCAAACCAAACGAGCAGTCCGATTGTAGTTCTATTGCAGTCATGACCAAACTGTTGCAAACCAAACGAGCAGTCCGATTGTAGTTCTATTGCAGTCATGACCAAACTGTTGCAAACCAAACGAGCAGTCCGATTGTAGTTCTATTGCAGTCATGACCAATCTGTTGCAAACCAAACGAGCAGTCCGATTGTAGTTCTATTGCAGTCATGACCAATCTGTTGCAAACCAAACGAGCAGTCCGATTGTAGTTCTATTGCAGTCATGACCAAACTGTTGCAAACCAAACGAGCAGTCCAGTTGCAATTGTATTGCAGTCGTGTCAACTGCGTTCAAACTGTATTCGAACTACAATTTGCAGTTGGATTGCAGTTGAATTGCGGTTGGTCTGTTTAGAGTCTAAGTGGAAAATTTTTATATTTTTGTTCTTATTGCAATTTTAATAAGGTTTGTTTCCGTTTGATTACAAATACTGTTTAAGAAAATAAAATTACAATGTCTTTACTATCGGTGCTAAGATATAAAGGTGATTATTTCTATAGTTGAAGTTCGAAGGCATAGGCACCCCCTACTACATGTGACTCATAACATAAATAGTGAAAAGTGGGTGTTACATTGTACAGTGGCATTAAGTGCCGTAATGTGCACCTCTTCCTACCTATTTGTTTGGTTGTACGATTAAAATATTTGTTTAAAGCCGTCACCATTTTGTATACACGTACATACGCTAACATAACGAATTTAAATTAAACTGACCTTTTTTAATAGATTTTCAACCTTATTTCTAGTGTATTTTGTCCTATAAGAAACATAAATTTAGTTTAGTACTGTCGTGAGACAATTATCATGCTGTTCGGAACGCTTGAAGTTTTGTGAGAGATGAATGAACTATAGTATCTAATCAAATATTTTTTTCATTGTATTGTTTCTTACTATTGAATATGTATTGAGTAGTGTAATTGGTTTTTTGTACCGTTCTATTCGTATAAATAAATAAATGATTATAGGCCGCGGGTGAGGTTTGAAACCAGTCGAGTTGCCTCAACGATGAGTCATACAAATTACAATTACATTGTTATAATAAAGTTGAAAATCTACAAAAGTTTGATAAACTTTAGATATTTTATTGTTTGTATTCTACAAGTTAGAACGAACTCCTTTCACCTGCTTGCTCTTGAAACGCCATACATCCTGAAAAGACAGTGTTATGTTAATAAAATTCCAAACGGAGTTTTTTTTTTCTCTTTTTTTTTATTTGGTTCACAAAACTGAATACAATCTAACATACATATAAAATACCACAACAAACTTAATTAAGATTATATCCTACTAGATGTGAACACGGCATGCATAATAGAGAAATCTTACATTACTAAATGGAAACAAAAACTTTAGTTCAAAGTGTGTAAAAAGATCTTAGCTTCTTCTTGAAAGAGGCAAGAGAATCGAGACGGAAGACATCAATGTCTTTACAAATGTTATTAGAATAACAACACATACGGTACATGGGCGAGTGCTGGCCAAGATTTGTCTTCGAATGCGGTGGGTGAAAAGTCTTTCGATTTCGAGTTAGAAATATAAATGATTTCTTGAAGTTAGGTTAGGTTAGTTATGTTTAATGCGGGCTGCGGATGAATTTGGACTCCCGCGGCCCCGCGCGCACGTGCGAGGAGACACTCGGGTGGTTTTAGCCGGTAAGAGTCCGGCACACCCCTCCGCCTTTCCCCAGGCGGAGGCAGTCCATAAGGATTTCTCCCCATTAAAAAAAGGTTAGTTATGTTCTTCTCGATCCTATTATAATAGGATGCTGGAAGAACATGACTTATGCAAACTTTAGATCCAAACTTTCCAGTTACTGATACTCACAGAAAAAAATGTACGAGTTTAAGTAGTTTACTTTATTTCAGACTAGATTTTTTACGCTTTGTCCGCGAATTCCTGTTTTATCCCAAGGAAGCTTTCAATCGGGATAACTTAAAAATCCTACAGTAAAAAGTATCCCATGTCCTGATCCTAAGTTACCTCGTGACCGATTTTCTGAAAAATCGATTGAGTTTTAATAAAGACTTTGTTTTATTCTACTAATGATATAAACTAGCTGTCGCCCATGACTTGGTCCGCGCGGGATATAGATATAGTATTACCTAAGTCAGCCCATACCCTACCTGTATATCAATGCCTGTGGCATTAAGTCCACCCATGTGCTTGTTTGTGTGCATAAAAGCTTTTTAAATAAAATAAATAAATATAACAAATTTCAGAATCCGTTCAGTAGTTCTTGTAGTATCTTTGACCGTATTTAGGTGTTGCATTGTTCTCACACAATCGAACCAATAAAACTATTTAACTAGAGAATTGTATTGTAAACCCGACTAAAAAAGAGTAACCTATGGAGTTTCTTGCTCGTTCTTCTCCATAGGAATCTACGCCTTGGAATGAGCAACTAGCTTCACTTCTAAAATTTTATTTTTGCCGTTCAAAAGAGCCTTCTTGGTCTAATTGAAATAAATGATATACCTCTAGGTGTGGGAGAGCCATGCTCCGGCACGAAGGGGCCGGCTCGACCGGAGTGATACCACGGCCTCACAGAAAACCGACGTGAAGCAACGCTTGCGTTGTTTTCTACGTGTGAGTGAGATAACCGGAGGCCCAATTACCCTCCCCTTCCCCAATCTCTCCAATCCCTGATTCCCCAACGATCCTCAAACTCCTAATCCCCAAAAGGCCGGTAACGCACTTGTAACGCCTCTGGTGTTCCAGGTGTCTATGGGTGACGCCGATTGCTTACCATCAGGTGATCCGTCTGCTCGTTTACCTGCTTATGCCGATACTTTGAGTTTCAGCGTGGTTGACGGTCAAACATCCAAACAAAGAAACTTTCACATTGTTGTTTTTATTAATTTTTAAATATTGTGTTAGTATTCTATTGTCACTGTTTTGTTTTATGTTGTCGTTTCTTTGTGTTTTTTTTTTCTATATCTGTATAAATAAGTGTATTTATTTGTTCTTTTCTTTTTTAATTTTGTATTTTTTTTGTATCTGTGTGCGTGCCTACTGTCGAATAAATGATTTTTCTTTCTTTCTTTCTTCTTACATTAATAATATCAGTGGTATATACTTACAATATAGCTAAGTTCCCCGAGTCCCATCCTAGCAGCCTGAGCCTCTACTTCTTTAGCGAGATGTTCCTGCACGGTGCCGTGTAGGTCGATGTACTCGCACGTACTGTTCGCGAAGTGAAACGTTATAGCTTTGCGGTAGTTCTGTAAAATAAATATTGCTCATCACTACATAGTATAAAACAAAGTCGCTATCCACCGTCTGTCTGTCCGTATGTATGCTTAGGTCTTTAAAACTACGCAACGAATTTTGATGCAGTGTTTTTTAATAGATAGTATGATTCTTAAGGAAGGTTTATATGTATAAATACATGCATAACATAGAGAAACACTGATAAATTTAGAGGTTTCTAATGTGATGTCCTAAATCAGCACGTTTTTTTGCGCTTATATTGCAAACGCTGGCTGAACCCTACGAGATAGACCAAAATAATGTACTGCAGTATTGTCCACATTAATTGTTTAATGACTAAAAAGCTGTGAACGTTGTGTATTAGGACATTTTGTAGTAGGTATTTTTACATAAGCATTGCATTGCTTTATCAATATCACCGATCACGTCCCTGTAGGCACGGCGGTGCTCAGCCCACGCAGGGCATTCGCCCACTGTGTGTTCTACCGTGTCTGATTAAAGGTCTTGCCAGTCTTTTGGGCACCCTACCTCATGATAGCGATGAGGAAATTGTTATTTTGATGCTTTAAGCCTTATGTAACTTTTTTAATATATTTTTTTAAATATTTTAGTATATTTATAATCTATATATATATAAAAGAAAGTCGTGTTAGTTACACTATTTATAACCCAAGAACGCCTCAATCGATTTAGATGAAAATTGGCGGGGGGTAGCTTAGAACCAGGAGACGGACATAGGATACTTTTTATCTATTTTTTTTTTTTACTTTTACCGAAAATCACGAACGGGAACGAGGGGGGGGAATGGGATTGCGCGTACGAAGTCGCGGGCAGAAGCTAGTATTAAATAGAATAAGAATATACACATTTTATATGACCTTACCTTAGACACATTCGGCCCCGACCCGTGCAGTAAGTAAGGATGCAGGAACACGGTGTCTCCGGGACTCATCTCCAGGTGCACTCTCTGCTCCAGCGGAGCGATTGCTTCTTCGTCTACTCCGTGGTACATTTTTAAGGCGTCCTGCAATTATTAAGTAATTATTAATTGTCAGTCATTCTAGATAAGACCACTGTTTTCAGGTTTTTGAAATTCTACAGATGTCCGTATGATAAATGCGATTGATTGGTTTATTTTTATTTATAACTAGCTTTTACCCGCGGCTTCGCTCGCGTCACAAAAGGATAAAAAATAGCCTATGTGACATATACCAATACACACAGCGCCATCTATACCAATACTTTTGTTTTTCCTTGGGAATATCATTTTTTTCCGGGATAAAAAGTACCCTATTATTTAACCCCGACTTCAAACTTTTCGTCTGCAAAAATTCAAAGCAATCAGTTTAGTAGTTACGGCGTGAAGGTGGAACAAACAAACAAACAAACTCACTTTCAGATTTATAATATTAGTAAGGATTGTCAGTCATTTTAAATTAGACTACTGTTTTCAGGTTTTTTTAAATTCTACAGATGTCTTTGTGATAAATGCGACTGATTGCTTTATTTATTTATTTATAATCACAACAGTGTACAGATATTGAGTTTGCAACTTATTCCCTTATCATTCTATTCAAGGCATGGGGTGTTAGACACCGCCGAATGGGGGATACCGTAGTGTGAACCTCTCGTTTTTCGTCCAATAGGGAATTAGCTAGTGCGACCATTGCACGTTCAATATTTGACAACTGCTATGATTAGATAAAAAATCTCTTTCTGCATTTGTGCTATCTAGTGACCAAAAATACGGTAATAAAATCTATTGACAGTACCTAGTAGCTTCGGAGCCGCGGAGAACCCAACAGGTAACCGGGGCTCCGGCTCGACGTGCAGGAGAAGGAACGGGGTGGTTTTTAGTCAGTAAGAGTCTGACACTCCCTCCCGCCTCACCCAGGCAGAAGAAGTCATTCGATGATTTTACCCCCTTACAAAAAATTACCTAGTAGCTTTTTAAAATCGTATTTTTAATTAATTTTATGTCTCACGATAGTTATTACAAAAAAAATACTGGCACTTTATAACTAGACCTCGAATTCAAATCTTTTTTTGAAGATGCAGAATCACCAATGTCTTCTCCCGCCCTGCTGACCGGAGTGTCAGACTCTTACTGACTAAACACCACCCCGTTCCTTCTCCTGCACGTCGAGCGGAAGCCTTGATAATTCATTAAGTTGTTGCAGCTTCGGGGTAATCGAACCTACCACATGTTGCATGTATAACAGACGGTCACTGAACCTACTACTATATGTATTTATAATTAATCATAACCATTATCATAGTAAATAGTAATTTAAATCAACAGTCAAACTATCTACTACATAAAAATAAGTCGGGTTTTCCTTCCTGACGCTATAACTCCAGAATGCACGAACTGATTTCCACGTTTTTGCATTCGTCGAAAAGGTCTATAGGGTTCCGTGAGGTTTATAGCAAAGAAAATTCATTTCGTTTAATCACTAAACGAAATGTTACATAAAACGAAGCCATCTGGTGGCGAAACGGAGTTCGCCGAGTTTGCTAGTTTATATATAGTTTTGTTAGATTATAAGGCATACCATGTACCTTCATTATTAAAAAATAAATAAATAAATAAATAGTCGTTTACTAACTACAACTATTTTAGAATCAATAAGCTTACCGTCTTCCCTGCCTCGCTGTCAGAGTAATGCAAAGTATTACTGGGTTTTTATAAAATCTCAGTAGTAGCACGGAGTCTAGAATTGTGCCCGGTATGGGACTCATAACATAAATAGTGAAAAGTGGGTGTTACATTGTACTACTACTACTACTAAAAGGGCTACCCCTTTGGGGATCAAGGGTGTGATGGTATGATATGTTACCTTCTTCCCAGCATGTTGGTATAGTATCTCAGCCTTATGTGACCCGGGCACTGCGTACAGACATCCGTTCTCTACGTTGACATGGTCCACGGCCGTCCACGCGCCGATGATCTTCTCAGCCGGACGGAATGGGAAGTAGAATAAATCCTACAAATTAAATTTACGATAAGTAATATATTTCATTAAACTACGTTTAAAAAACCAGCTTCAACCTCCTTTTTTGAAGACATACATGTATTAAAACCTGCTCCTAAGTTCGTCAATCAATCGACGTCGCCCATGGACACCCGAAACACCAGAGGTGTTGCAAGTGTGTTACCGGTCTTTTGGGGATTTGGAATTTTAGGGTTGAGGATTCGGGGATTGAGACAATTGGGGAAGGGGGTAATTGGCTCTCCGGTAACCTCAAACACAACGCAAGCGTTGTTTCACGTCGGTTTCTGTGAGGCTGTGGTAGCGAAGCGCTTCGCATCAAGCTTCCTTGTGCGTACTGCAAAGGAGTGGAATTCTTTGTCAGAGTCTGTATTTCTTGAACCTGGGTGTCTTCAAGGTCCGAGTGAATAGGTTGCTTATGGGTCGACGTGCTCCATCGTAGACCGCATCATCGCTTACCACCAGGCGAGATAGTGGTCAAACGTCAGTCCCATTTAATATAAAAAAAGCATTCATGCCTAAGCATGACTCTCCCACACTTATACTTATATCTCGGTATTATTAAACACTTTGGTTTGACACTAACCTGATGTGGTGGATGTCTCGAGGATCCAGGTGGTTTGTTAATGAACATGCTGTTGACGGCGGTGATGTCGTCTCCGATGAACTGCGACAGTACGGACAGTAGCCGCGGGTGCTCGCCATATTGTATGAACACGTCGTCGTAGAGCAGCTCTTGGATCTGAAGAGATGATGAATAAAGGGAGTTAGTTACTTTTGACAAAAACAAGTGATATGAGCATGAGGTTCTTGATGCTGAAACTAACATTACGCATTATAACAAGTAAGACATGACATCCACGATGATGATTCAAGAATCATGAATTTTCGAAACCCTTTTTAGATCAGTCAAAGCATTATTGGCATCAATTGGGTATTTTTCTGGGTCAAAAATAAATTATTTAGATAAGTGTGCTATTGATATTTATATATGTCGCGAAAATATGAAATATGATGACGTCATAAGTTAGTTTTTGGTACAAAATTCATATAACAGTATCGTTTTTGACGTTTCAATAAAAGTATTGAATTTGATTAGTTGTAAAATACCGTATTGTTTAGAATTGACGGTTTCGTTGGCCGAGTGGTCGCAAGTGGCAAAGGCCAGCATACAACGACTGACTTTTTTGTAAAGATACAAAATCATCAAATAACTACTCCCATTCTGGGTGAGTTGAGAGAGAGAGTGTCTGACTCTTACTGACAAGAAACCTCATTCCTACTCGTGATTCATCATCATCAACAGCCTATAAATGCCTACTGCTGAGCAAAGCATCTTCTCACACGGAGAAGGTTTGAGCATTAATCACCACGCTTGCTCAATGCGTGTTGGTGATTTCAAACTTATAATTAGAAATTATAAGTCTAGGTTTCCTTACGATGTTTTCCTTCACCGTTTGTCAGTGGTGTCTAAATAATCTTAGAAAGTACATATGACTCGGAAAAAGTCACATTGGTACTTGTCGTTGGTAGGTTTCGAACCGGCACCCTCATGTGTGAGAAGTGCGTCATAAACCTCCGGGTCACCTAATCGTGATTCGACTTCCTATACTTCACCTTGAACAATGGAATACATACCTTATTGATATACTCTTCAGGTTTCAAATTCTGTGCGACTAAGGTCGGCTCTTTGACAACCCTTACATTGCCGGCCGGGACTATTCCTTTACATATTTGTAAGAAGCGCTGTCTGAAATTGAATAAAAATAGGAATTTAACAAATTCGAAATAATTATGTTTACTTATACGTTTTACGAGGTAACTTGACTAGTTTCGAGCCATGTCGGAGCCCATAGCTATGAATAGTATGCGCGAAAACGATGCGACGAGGGTCACACATTTAACTGAATTAAATTATAGTAAATTGATTGGAAAGCAAGCTGTTGTGTGTTCGATTTCTGGGTTTGTCAATACCTTTATTACAAGATAAAAAAGTGGATTAATACCTACAAGAAAAATATGTAAATTAATAATTGAAGTCTGATTATTTTTGAATATTTCAATGTATTGAAAAGTCGACAAAATAATTAGTTTTTGACCGAGAAAACTATACACATATCAGATAAATTAATTCTAAACAATACATAATTACTTATTTTAAATGTACAAAACATTACACAATTTAAACACATTATTTCTGGAATGTTCGCGAATTTAAAACAATGGCGATTAATTATAGCGCAGTGGCTGAGTAACTGGTTGTCTGCTGTGCAATTAGGTACTTTCTATACGTATAGCATGACGCCTTTTATCCCCGAAGGGGTAGGCAGAGATGCACATTATGTCACTGTACAATGTAACACCTACTTTTCACTATTTATGTTATGAGTCTCATGTCATAGGGGGTGAGCCTATTGTCATATACCGGGCAAAATTTTGGATTCCGTGCTACTACTGAGATTTATTTTTAAAACCTAGTAATATTTTGCTCGACTCGAGAATCGAACCCGACACTCCTTATCCGGCAGTCGTAGTTGCGACCACTCGGCCAACAACGCAGTCAATTAGCAGTTATTTTATTTATTTATGTATATAAAGAAAATAATATCCTTAAAATAAATATCAATAATGTATTAAAATGAAATAATCAGATTATAGCTGGGTATTATTTGTCTAGAAAATGATATGACTGTAATCTTCTGATTACAAGTACTAAGTTTCAGTGTAAACAAGATACACAATAGACAAATTACAATAGTACTGTAGTTTCTATTTATTTATGCTTGCAAAACATAATAATATTTAGTGATTTTGTAAGAAATAAGTATACATAGTTTTAAATTGCTAGCTTCTGTCAAAGTTGTTTAGGTGTTATTCTAGCTAGACCATAATTTACCTTCGTGCCAAACACACACACACACACACACACACACACAAACTTGCACAATGGCACAACATTATATAGCAATTTTTTTTTAAGGGGGAAAATCATCGAATGACTGCTCCCGCCTGGGTGAGGCGGGAGGGAGTGTCAGACTCTTACTGACTAAAAACCACCCCGTTCCTACTCCTGCACGTCGAGCCGGAGCCCCAGTTACCCGTTAGGTTCTCCGCGACATTATATAGCAATAGGCTCACCATATTACATGGGACTTATAACATAAATAGTGAAAAGTGGGTGTTACATTGTATAGTGGCATTAAGTGCCGTAATGTGCATCTCTGCCTACCCCTTCGGGGATAAAATGGCGTGATGTTATGATATTATGAAGCCCTCTTACGGTTGGCTTAATGTTCATTTTTTGCAAATTGTTTATTTCATTATTATTCTGTCATACAACTGAAAATCTGTATAATGATGTAAGTCATGTTAGTTACACTATTTACCTCTATAACTCAAGAACGACAAAATCGATTAAGATGAACATTGGCGGGGAGACCAAGAACCAGGAGACGGACATAGGAAACTTTTATCCAATACTTGTTTCGTCTATACTTTTTACCGAAAATCATGAACGGGATTGCGCGTACGTAGTCGCGGGTAGAAGCTAGTTTAAAATATCACACAACTAACATTAGTACTTACTTGTAACTGTACAGAGATGTGAAGTCAATCAATTCCTTAATAACTAGGAAACCGTTGTCCTCGTAAAACTTGATTTGTTCCGGAGACAATATGTAGTTGTCCGACTGTTCTGCAAAAACCCTGAAAGCAATAGAAATATAATATTATTTGTATTAAATAAAATTTCTTCGAGTTGAGTAGCCAGTAGGAGCGCGACACAGTCACCGCGTCGCGGGTCGCGAAATGCTGCTCATGAATATGAGGATCTAGCATGGCTTGGAACTAGTCGGATTCCTCGTAATCCTTGTCAAAGAATTGGGATGATGACGGGGTATGAAAATTAAAAATCTATTTAGTCCGTACGTTAGGTAATGTCAAAGTCAAAGTCAAAATCATTTATTTCAATTAGACCAGGATGGCACTTTTGAACGTCAAACAACAAAGGAGAACGGCAGATTTTGTACCGCTTCGCTAAAAAAAGATTTGTCATTAAAAAATTGGGTCGTTATAGAACCTCCTAAGTACGTTATGTTAGCATATTTAATAGATTTTTAAAACTTGGGAAACCCTAGAAAAACTGATATTCAATAATGATAAAAAGCAATCCACTATACGTAAAACGAACCGCGATTGACGTTTACAAAGTTGCCATGCGTAAAGATGAAATCAGAGCATATTGAATTTCGCTATTTCATAAACTCATTTATTTTAATATCTATCAATGAAATATTTTCCTTTCCATTTCAAACATTTTTATAAGTAAATATAAAAATCTACATCCAATCTAAATCTACGTTTACATGGATTATTAATGATAATTAACATTTTAACAAACTTGAATATTATGGCAATGTTGAACTGGCATTTGTCTTGATGACATTGACAATTAATTTGTCAATACTGGCGCATTGCTGTTTGTTTCAAATGCGATGTTATGATGTGTTTGTTGAATTTGAAGTTATTTTATTCATCTGGTGATACGTTGAGTTTGGCAACCGTTCCTCCGTAGCCCAAATTGGTATTATTGGAATCATTGTTGTGACAATTGCGAAAACACACTTATTTACATTGTTTTGTGCAGTGTGTTGTTATTTGTCGCGATGATGAATTTACAGTGTATTAATTGCATTCAGAGTTTGTCGCACATGAGACGGCATGCTCTAGAAAATGAGAGTGAAGATTAGACGTGGTCAACAATATCCCAATGTGGACTTATCCTAGAGATGTAAGTACCTAGTTTACCCATAACATATCGAAAGTCACCATGTTGCCTGAATAAAAGAAGGCGCATAGTGTTATCTACCCATAATGTATCATTTTATCTTTTTATTCTAGATCTCTCCTACCGACCATATTTGCAATGCTTGCTGGCAATTAGCAATGTATCGGGATGTTGCTGAAAGTATGTCCAGCAAACAAATTGGTCACTGGCATGTTTGTGTCGTATATGGGTGATTCATTGCAATGATAAGGTGACGCAGGGTTTTAATTGAAGGCGCCAACAAACAGGAGTAAAGACTGGCTCATATAGTATTTGATTGGATTCAGCCACAAGAGGTAATAAAGCATAATTTAACCATACTATTATCTATATACAGTGTAATCTAAAGTCAATATCATATTCTAATAATATTACTTATTTTAGCTTACTTCCCATGATAAGATCATGTTCCATACTGACTGAGAGACCGTACAAGAGTCGAAACTATAAAACCACAACCTGACATACCACCTCACAGTGTTCACTATCAGGAAGTAATGTATTATGTAAACATGGACTAAGCCTCACTTTAACATTGCCATTTGTAGAACAGATGAGGCCGGATGATGTTGTTCGGCTCTCAAAGCTTCAACAGGTATGCATTCTCAATATAATGTACCTACATAATTATGTATCTATGTGGAGTATATAAGCGGTTTCTAATAGGTTTATACTCATGTTATAATTATAATTTATTAATTAGCATGCTGTTTGAGCTCCTATGATCTGTGTTATACGAATAACTATAATAAATGTTATAAAATGAAGTAATGTAATCAAATATTTATTTTTATCTTTTCCATTTTAAGATAGGGAATCAAACTTATTATTATAACATATAAAACTAAAGGAAAAAAATGTACTTTTGTTTACTTTATTTACAGTTATCTTACTTGTTTACAGATATCAGCAATTGATGTCTGCTGTACCTATGACACGGCCTGTTCTCTTTTTAGATAAAGTACTCCTAGAAACAACCTGAATACAATGAAATAAAAGTATTTCAAAATAATACATTTGTTTTATTTTAACCTAGTAAGTAACTATATATTCCATCTTGATAAAAGTGATTTTAAGAATCAATCTATAAAATAAATGCCATATTTAATTTAGATAGCTTTAGTTTTATACCAAAAATGTTCATTTTCATTTTACATTTTCTTTAGTTGTAATGTGGTGGCCCAGAGGTTTAAGAAGCCCGCTTCTCATGCATGAGAGTGCGGGTTCGAAACCTACCAACGGCAAAGTACCTTTTGTCCAATGTGTCTTTTTTCCGAGTTATTGGTATATTCAATAATCTAAGAAAGTACAAAGACACCGCTGACGAATGGTGAAGGAAAACATTGTGAGGAAACATGGGCTTATAATTTCTTATTATAAGTTTGAATTACCAACCCACATTGAGCTAGTATGGTGATTAATGCTCAAACCTCCATGCGAGAAGAAGCTTCGGTCAGCAGTGGCCACTTATAGACTTAATGATGAAAATGTTGATGATTCTACTAATTTGACTTACTTATTAGAAATTAATCCTTACATGCGTGCTAAGCAACCAGTTTTCAGAAGAAATACTTTCTCAAAGAGCTAAGCTAAGTTTAAATCGAATTAACTTGAGACCCTTGAGACTATCTACCTGCAAGATTCAAGGTGAAGTGAGACATTAGTTTTATCATATCCGCCACAAGACTTCCACTGCTAAATGTAGGCCTTCTACCCAATGACAAGTTCTAAAAATATGTAATTTTTTTCTAAACTTCATAATAAAAATATCTATCGTTCAGACTATTCACTTGGTTAAAACAATGACTAATACAAAATTTTATAGCGGTACAAAACTTCCATACAAACCTGCCATTCTCCTTTAAAATGAAAAAATATTAGAAACGTATTTTTTTATTTTGTTGCATAATAAAATAATACTTAGATTAAAGGAATCAAAGTTTAGGAGTGGGGGCCAAAACGCTATCTCTACGTATAAAATGTACATAGAAGTGACGTCACGCGACATTTCAAATCAATATATCGTCGAAAGTATTCGACTCTGTGAAAAAATAAAAAATATGTGTCTAGTGATTTAAAATAATCTACCAGACGGACATTAAAATAAAAATTAGGCATCTACCCTATTATGTGAGTAAGCCGATAACATAATACATAATAGTATTATTTATTTAAAGTTGCCTCTTTGGCCAAGTTGTCGCTAGTGCGATTATAACCTGGACGTCTAAGGCCTGAGTGAATAGGTTGCTCATGGGCAGACGTGCTCCATCATGGCGTCATAGGCCGAATCATCGGTTACCACTAGGCGTGATAATGGCCAAACGTCGGCCCATCAAATGTATAATATAAACCTCTTTGCCTGTAAGAAATGCGGAAGATTTCACTCAAGTAGGTACATCATCATCATCAACAGCCTATAAATACCCACTGCTGAGCAAAGCCTCTTCCCACACGGAGAAAGTTTGAGCATTAATCACTGCATTTGCTCAATGCGGGTTGGCGATTTCAAACTTATAATAAGAAACTATAAGTCCAGGTTTCATTACGATGCTTTCCTTCACCGTTTGTCAGTGGTGTCTAAATAATCTTAGAAAGTACATATAACTCGGAAAAAGTCACATTGGTACTTGCAGTTTGTAGGTTGCGAGCACATACCCCCATGCATGAGAAGCGGGTGTCTTAAACCTTCAGGCTACCACGACTGACTCAAGTACATATCAATCCTATAGGATTATCTATAGAGGTATATTCATTGAAATAATTAAAGTTTTACAAATTGATTTAATTATATTGGCTCATGTCATGCAAACAATCATCTTTTTTCTCTTTATTATAATATCAATCAATAAAATAAATAAATATAATAAGTGTAGAATTGTAGATAAATTTCTACCCATCCCTTCAGGAAACATGCTCTGATACCGCTATAAAATAATTGCAAATATCAAATGATTGTATTATTTTTAGTAATGTTAAAACATGTTTGTGAACATTATAGCTAATAATATGTAGACAGGATGCAGTTTGTGACAATACCAGTTAATACTGGTATAACTTGAATGACTTCTTTTAATCAAATCAAAATAGCTTTATTTGCTAAACAAAGGTGTATTACATAATGACGTGTTTTTTTAAAGGGGAGAAAATCATCGAATGGCTTCTCCCACCTCGGTGAGGCAGGAGGGAGTGTCAGTGTCAGACTCGTACTGACAAAATAAAAACCTTCTCCTGCACTTCGAGCCGGAGCCATGGTAACCCGTTAGGTTCTCCGCGAGTACATAGTGACTAAGGTGGTATTTATTTCAGTTACATATCTCTTTGTTCTACCCATTGGGCATGCAAATATTGGGTATATCTGAAATTGCATATCAGTTAATACAGTTAATATATTAGTAAAAAATTAATTACTTTCATTTATAAATGATTAATTCATAAATCAATCATTTAATCAGTCATACATGCAGCCACAACAAGCCCAAATCATCTTTCAATATATTTTTTTACTTTATAAGTTGATGTTGGGCCATCATTTGATTAAAACATCTGTGTGTATCATTTCATTAATACTAAAACAGTTATAAAGTACTTGTACCTTGAGTTAACATTAATTTGATTACCAATTTTCACAAGTTCACTATAATATCAGTAGTCTAACATCATTTCAACTGGACTTAAATCTTTGTACATATAAATTTTTAGGATGCACAGAAACAAAATTAATTTAAGTGAGTTCTAGAATAAATTATTGAATACATGAATTTTAAATTATATCTTTATCCTTACTAGACATGAAGTTAACCTTTGTTTGTGCAAAAAAGCAACAGGTTAATGAGATAAATATATTAGTTTCGTCAAGACAGCAACTTGTTTTTACAATTTAATTTTTGTTAAAACGTATTACATCAAGGGCAAAGTGTCGAATTTCGTTGCAAAGATAAGAAAATAGTTAATTATCCTAATTCTTTTAATGTTATCTGCGTATTTACTATTTACATCAAAATGGTGATAAAACACGAAGCAAAACAAAATCCAAACATTTTCAAACTTCGAACCATTTAAAAAAGAATTTTAACACTTACGGTTTTGGCAGAACTCTCACACCAGCCAGGGACTTTACGAGCACCATTATTGAGGCCAAATAAAGTAAATGTAGATTATAAACTTTTATCTTCGTTGAAACCTGTCTGAGAGATTGTAACTTACTGAATGTTTACAAAAATAAATCATTGCCTTGTTTCCCTCTGCGGCGAAGTGCGGAGAGGACTTTGACACTTGGGTTTGGGTTCGATTTGACAGTGACACTTTTGACAGTTAGTTTTTAAGTTTTTTGACGATTCTCATCTGAGAGATCCGGGTAAAAATTATCTAAATTATTATAATGATAAAATTGATAAATATAATTGTATGAGTTGTAATAAAACTTTTTCAATTCTAAATTTGGAAGATTATGGCTGTATTTGGCAAAAAAAAATTGTTAGATGCCATTTAAGAAAAAATAATCATTTTTTTTAATTTTTTTATGGCGTACGTGACAATTCTTTTCATACGCCACGGCCAGTGACTGTAATTTAGCAAAAAAAAATCCACACAAAAAAGTACTTTTTGTTTAAATTAGTAATTTAAAGTTAATTTTGGTGTACTGTTAAGGTTTCAATCTCTTTCGGTAAATTAGGTACCTATCAGGATTGTGGATCTGCTTATTACTAGGTATTTTAGTCAATTAGACTGACGAAAAGCAGCAATTGCAGCAGACAGCAGTTAGTAGGTAAATTGTGGCTTTTATTACCAAGAATTTAGGTCTTTCTGGCTGATTAAAAAAGAAGAGGTCGTTGACCACTTGACGGCGTTGTTTTTACGGGATAACGGAATTTAAAACTACATAAACATACCTTGTTATTTTAACAAGGATAGGTACTTTGGATGGTAAGTTATTGATAGCTTGGACTATCGATATTATAAAATACGCTGAATTGTGTCTCCTACAGTTTTGTATATAGACGATGAAGGATAGTGTGAGTGTGTAAAATCCACGTTGCCATTAATATTTTCGCAGGCGTCAGGCGTGGAACATTAACGTGTTCAACTACCTATAGGTAATTATGCTGAAGTGAAGGCCCTTTTGGTATGGGCACATTAATGTTAATAATTATTTTTATCGTTTTCTTTTTTAATATTCAATTACTGTTATGGTTGTATTGTATATATATTTTGTTATTTTTTATTGTTATTTTGGTCTTTTATTTACTCTTTCAAGTTTATTATTATTTTCTATAAGTATTTGTATTTTTCTTATAATAGGTGTGCCTACTTGTCAAATAAATGCTTTTTATTTCTTCCTTTCTTTATTTACGTAGTAACGTTGTACATAAAACTAAAAAAACGCAAATATGTGTTGTCTATGGTGACTATGGTTTAAATGAGTACTTTTTTTTTAAGATGCAAGACAAACGCTTAAAATCCTGCTTTCGTTGAACGTGATTCACATCTATTTTAAAATTTGAATAGACATAATTCGCAGAAAATGCGTTTGGGCCTATTTACCTTGTTATTGTAACTTCAACGATTCCTTTCTAAGAAAAATATGTAAGTTATTTATTTTCTTGTTTTAGTATATTTTGTTTTATCCTACAATAACATGCACATCGCATGTTGCCGATGCCGATCTGTCGATTCTCAGAATACTTGCAGGAAATCGTTACTTATGAACGTCTATATTTATCTCAGACACGCTGTTTTGTTGATCCAGCTCGATTGCTGAGTATTAAATCCGTCTGTTTGATCAATGAGTCAATGATTAATACAAATTATAACAAACATCTTGTTTGATTGGCTGAACGGTCGCAAGTGCGACTGCCAAGGGGTTTCGGGGTCGTTTCCCGGGCTGGGTAAAGTATTAATGAGTTTGAATTATATATATAATAATAATAATTAAAAATATCTCTGTAGTAGCACGGAGTCTGGAAATGTGCCCGGTATATGACAATAGGCTCACCCGCTATTAAATGGGACTCATAACAAAACATAAATCGTGAAAAGTTGGTTCTTTAATTATTTTGACTCCACAGATGGTGCTGTAGCTGGGCAAACGGCTGCCACGCAAGGTGTAGCGAGCGATTCAATTCGATTCCCGCACGGAGAAATTCTTTGTGTGATGCATAATTATGCACAAATTGTTTCGGGTCTGGGTGCCTTGTGTAGGTATGTGAAAATTTCTATGTTTGTAAACGTACCCACGACACAGGATGAGAAAGAAGTGTAGGGCAACGTAAAAGAAGTTTAGATAGTAAATGCCAAGAGAAGCGTAAGAATATACCTAAGGCTCGTACCCAAAATTGCGATGCGATGCGAATTGGCAACGCAAAAAATTACGATGTGAATTGCTGCGATGCGATTTCATGCGACAAGGCGTCTCCCAGGGTGACCATTCCATCGTCGACCGTCAACCGTACTAAACGTGTTTTTAATTGAAAACTAGGTCGTAACATTGATCGTAAAAAGAAGTGTGCACGTCTGTTATTGTTTAGGAGATACAGGAAAAGGAAACAGAAGATTTTGGGAAGATAAGATTTTGATGCGCGATGCGAATCAATTTTTTTTATGGCATAAGCCGGTAAACGAGCAGACGGATAACCTGATGGTAAGCAATCGGCGTCGCCCATGGACACCTGGAACACCAGAGGTGTTATGCGTTTGCGCCTTGCGTTACCGACCTTTTGGGGATTAGGAATTTGAGGATCGTTGGGGATTCAGGGATTGGGGAGATTGGGGAAGGGGAGGGTAATTGGGCCTCCGGTAACCTCACTCACAAGTCACACGTAGAAACATCGCAAGCGTTGTTTCACGTCGGTTTTCTGCTAGGCCGTGGTATCACTCCGGTCGAGCCGGCTCATTCGTGCCGAAGTATGGAAATCGCAATCAATTCGCAAGTTCTTGCGATGCGTAGAGGGAGCTCGCACATTTTTGTGTACGAGCCGTAAATGCGAAAGACTGTGTGTTAGTGTGTATATTTGTCACTCAATTACGGCAAAAAAGCTGACGGGATCGGGATGAAATTTGGAACAGGGGTAGATTATCATCATCAACAGCCTATAAATGCCCACTGCTGAGCAAAGCCTCTTCTCACACGGAGAAGGTTTGAGCATTAATCGTCACGCTTGCTCAATGCGGGTTGGCGATTTCAAACTTATAATTAGAAATTATAAGTCCAGGTTTCCTCACGATGTTTTTCCTTCACCGTTTGTCAGTGGTGTCTAAATAATCTTAGAAAGTACATATAACTCGGAAAAAGTCACACTGGTACTTGCTTGCCGTTGGTAGGTTTCGAACCTGTACCCTCATGCATGAGAAGCAGGCGTCTTAAACCTCCGGGCCACCACGACACACAGATAGACAAGGGTAGATTATAGTGTGTGTGGCATAATACAGAAGCTACGTTTTATCCGAAGGGAACGCGAGTGATTCCTCTGGCAACAGCTAGTATTATTTTAATGTTAAAGGTTACCAAAGTACCTATTAACAGTAAAATAGAGGTGATAATGCATTATGAGTATATTTTGTATCAACTCTTAGCTTATTTAAAATGTACAACATGGCCTGACCATCGACAGCAATAGGTACTAGCATTTATAATTGTTTGAATTCGTCATAAAATGTTATAGCAGTGATTGCATTGGCATTCATTTATTTTTAGATTATTATGTACAGTTTAAACCTTGATATTGAATTAATAACATAACGTAACATTACGCCTTTTATCCCCGAAGGGGTAGGCAGAAGTAACACCCACTTTTCACTATTTATGTTATGAGTCCCATGTAATAGGGGGTAAGCCTATTGCTGTATACCGGATACATTTCCAGACTCCGTGCTACTACTGAGGTTTATTTTAAAAAACCCAGTAATAATTTGCCCGGCCCGGGAATCGAACCCGAGACCCCTTGCCCGGTAGTCGCACTTGTGACCATTCGGCCAACGAGGCAGGCAGTGAATTAATAGTATATAGTATGCACAATCTACCTAATTCTATAAAAGGCTGGTAGGTTAACTAAACTGACATCGCCGCGACCGCGCACGCTGCTCATGAGGAAGAATCCCTCTGTGGTTCGAAACTATATTCACGTGAGTAACCTGCGACTTTTAGTTAATTTAGTATATCTCACGATAGTTATACAGTCGAATTGAGAACCGCCTCCTGTTTTTGAAGTTGGTTAAAAATACAGGCTGGTAGGTATTTACTTATGTAGGTATTATATACTAGTTTTTACCCGCAGCTTCGCTCGCGTCACAAAAGGATAAAAAGTAGCCTATGTGACATATACCAATACATACAGCGCCATCTATACCATTACTTGTGTTTTCCCTCGGGAATATGAATTTTTTCCGGGATAAAAAGTACCCTATTATTTAAACTGGACTTCTAACTTTACGTCTGCAAAATTTCAAAGCAATCGGTTTAGTAGTTACGGCGTGAAAGCGGAACAAACAAACAAACTCACTTTATGATTTATAATATACTAGCGGCCCGTCCCGGCTTCGCACGGGGGGACTTAAGATTTTTTACATAGTTTTACGTTTTATTTATATTTATTCTCAGTTTTTTTTTAGCGACCTGCCCTCCGTTGTCGATGTCGCGTCTTAAGGTAACCGATTGAACAATTCAAAAGTTATCTAGAGCAAACTTTTATAAGGATTGAACCATTCATTAAAACGATTGTTATGGGTAAACTATAAAAGGTAGACATATGCTCTCGCGGACTTTTTTAAAAATGATGTTAAGATAAACAATTCATCTATAGAACATTTTTGTATAACTTTAACTATATGCTCAGCGCACGCCACGGAAGGCCTCAGAAACGATACTTTTCCCCCGTTTTTAAAACATTTTTGGTTACTGCTCCACAACTATAGGACCTAGCGTGATATTATATAGCCTATGTTACTTCTGAATAATGCAGCTTTCGAATGGTGAAAAAATTATTGCAATCGGTTCAGTAGTTTTTGAGTTTATTCATTACAAACATACAAAAATACAAAAATACAAATCTTTCCTCTTTATAATATTAGTATAGAAGTATAAAGTATAATATAAGTAAGGATGCTTTGTTAAAGCCAAGACACCAAATCCAGATGCTGTGAGTAAAATTTTACATCTATAAACAAAATTGTCGTCAAACTCATTAAGTCCGCACTTAGCCTTAGTCCTCATTTACTGCGCGAGGTGCGACCTGACACGTGACATCATGTTATTTGGAATTGAATTGATGCTTGCATGTTTGTGCAATACTGACCTTAACCAATTACTGTACTGACATCATACTGAGGTGTTAGAATAATTAATACGTACGTACTTACTAGCACAATCAAGCCGTGTGGTACCTACACATAAATAAATGTGATACCGCCTCTACTCATGCTGTGATTGCCGTAAGAGCCAACTCAGGGACTAGGGACTACCCTTGACAGAGACCTAAATACCCCTTCCCCCCGCCTTCCCTAATGTCCCCAATCCCTGAATACCGAACAATCCTTAAATTCCTAATCCCCAAAAGGCGTCGCGGAGAACCTAACGGGTAACCGGGGCTCCGGCTCGACGTGCAGGAGAAGGAACGGGGTGGTTTTTAGTCAGTAAGAGTCTGACTCTCGCTCCCGCCTCACCCAGGCGGGAGCAGTCATTCGATGAATTTTCCCCCCTTTAAAAAAATCCCCAAAAGGCCGATAACGCAATTTTAACGCCTCTGGTGTTTCAAGTGTCCATAGGCGATGCTGATTGCTTACAATCAGGTGATCCGTCTGCTCGTTTACCGGATAATCCCGTAAAAAAATAGACCTGGTAGCAGCGATATCTAATAAACCTGAACCTTTAATGATAAATAGCGAGCTTCAAAGCCACTTATAGTCCAGCTATGGAATACCGCTCGCTAAGATGATGAAAGTACTAGATACAGCATAACATAACATCACGGCTTTTATCCTCGAAGGGGTAGGCAGAGGTCCACATTATACCACTGTACCATGTAACACCCACTTTTCACTATTTATATTATGAGTCCCATGTAATTACTAGATACAGATTTAACTAAAAACCTTCGGTACGGTACATAATTGTACCTCTCTTATAGTGGATCGTGGTGAAATACTGGCTGCTTTCATACTGGCTGTAGCTGTCTGCAGATTGTTAACGTCACGAAATAATTATTATCTAACCTCGTAAACGCTTCTGTTATGATTATGATCTCATTCCATCTCGACCTTACGTTTAATTAGCACTGTGCAAAGACACGATGTGCAAAACAAGTCTATGATAGAGTTCGTGAACTATCAAATGGATTGTTTGAAATAGTTTACAAATATAGTCGGTCAATGAACGACGATAATAATTAAGAAGCCGGTTCGCTTATAGAATAAGAAAAGTGATGAAAAGTATATTTAGATATTGTTTCTAAAATCTTAAATTATTGACACTAGTTAGTGCTTTGCCTCATTTCCGCCAAATGATAAGTAGTTCACGTACGAAAACACATAAAACAGATGCATTATATAATTTAAGTAATGACTACAATCAAAATCATGCCAAACTCCGGCCCCGGGCAGTGTTATCGTCAGGTCACTTGTGATAACATGCCTCTTAAAACGACAGTAAAATAACTCGTTCAATAAATTAGTAGTCCTTTTACATCGCCAGCGAAATGGCGAGACTCGGAACGATATTCCTGTTTATTGCGGCGTTTATTTCTCTAATTTCGGCGCAGTGCAACCACAGGACAGCGGCCCCGTACTTCAAGAGATCCATCTACGAGTTTACATTGGACTTAGTCAAGAGGATTAACCAAGAAACTGAGAGCCATTTCGTCGCTTCCGCGTTATCGCCATGGACCCTGCTAGCTGGTATGTCGCTGGGCGCGTCTGACACGACACTGCAGGAAATAAAAGAAGTACTCCAGATGCATCCTCACAAATGCTTCAACAACATATACTTCGACCTCGTAAAACAAGTGACTGCGAAGCCCACCAACCCGACAGCATGTATGCTGGAACGCAGCTCCACCATGTTCTTCGATGACAGTATCTTCGTGAAGCCAAAGTTCTTGGACGACGTGTCCAAGGTGGGTATCTGTGATGCTAGGATCGTGTCTTTTGTAGATACAGTCGAGACATCCGCGATTATTAACGATCATGTTCGAAGGGTTACAAATGAAGCTATAGACGAAATTGTTACCCCGAATGATTTAGACGGAGTTGTAACAGTTATGATTGACGCTCTGTACTTCAAAGGAGCTTGGAAAGTACCTTTCCCTTACGAAGACACTGAAACTAGTGCGTTTTACAATGATAGAGGACAGCAGGTTGGGGACGCGTCTCTGATGTACGTGAGTGGAAGTTTCAATGTCACGTCAGTTGAACAAATAAACGCGCGAGTGTTGGAACTCCCGTACGGAGATGATAGCAGGTACTCTATGCTGATATTCCTACCAAACGCTAACGTCACCCTTACAAGTATGATAGAAGCGATGAAATCCATCAGTATTAGCTCCATCTTTATTTTGTACAACCAGCACAGAGCGACGACTGTCGACGTTCAGATTCCAAGGTTCAAGATATCTTCTGACATTGACAATTTGAAGGAGCTCCTCATTGACATGGGTATTCGAAGTGCGTTTGATTCACAAGCTAACTTCCTTGGTATATCTGACTACCAGATGTACTTGTCGAACTTTATCCAGAAGGCTGATATAGAAGTGACGGAGGATGGTACGGTGGCGGCGGCTGCTACTGCAGCGTTCTTCGAAGCGAGGATGTTACCCGACCAGTTTGTTGCTAACAAGCCGTTCTTGTTCATGATCGTAGATAGAGTTTTGCACGTCCCCATATTCACGGGAGCTTACTCGAAACCCAGTGTTTTCTGAGAGTTTCTACCTATGTAACATTGGAGTAAATAGTTCATTGTTTCATTTCTTGTTTTATTGGTGAAAACCTAACGTGATGAGTAAGTGAGAGAAACCCGGGAAGCTGATGAGTGATCAGTCGATAGCTATGATAGCCACAGTACAGGTGTCAAGTATCAAGTAAACATACAAGTAATAAAGATTAGATTACGTCTAATGAATGTTTAGTTAAAAGTCGCGATATGTCACTTATTACGATTAGAAGTTGCATGCAAATTAGATAATCACACTAATATTATAAATCTGACAGTTTCTTTGTTTGGATGTTTGTTCGTCAATCACTCTGAAACTATACAGAACGGATTTTGATTAAATTTGGTATACAAATAGGGTATGGGATGAATTAGGTGATGAGATTTTTTATCCCGGTTAAATGCTCCCATGGAATAAAACAGGAATCATATTTTACGCGGACAAACACGCGTGTAACAGGTAATCATTAATATGAAGTCCTCTTCATCATTTTTCTTCTTCACTCTTCATAACAGCCATAAGACAGAACATCCCCATCATTTTCAGATCATGGTCGGAGGCGACTTGTAATAAAATGACTTCATAATTGAAGTATTCTTACAATTAATCAATAACGTATGTATGTACATCATCTTTCTTTTACTTCTAAGCCCCGATTTTTCAATCATCAGTTAGTTTCTAACTGTAGAACAAAATTTACATTAGACAGTTATTAGTTTGGAAAAATTGTCAAATATTCAGTTATTCCCTCAGTTAAAAATATATCTGACGTTGGAATAACCTCCTCCTTTTTGGGAAGTCGGTTAAAAATCGTCTGAAGTACTTCACTTTTATACGAATCACAGAATCACTTAGGTATTTATGATATCCGCACTAAATGTTATTTTTTGGGCTTACATTAGCCTGATAACGGAAGGTTAAAGTTCCAAATCTATATCTTATATTTATTAGCTAAATATAGTTGGTGTTGAAAATAGTTTTTTATGATTGTCGAACGACAAAAACTTCGTAATTGTAGTGTATGTAATATTAAATTAAATGAAAGAGGACTTTCGCGTTGACTGCCTCGTTAGCCGAGTAAGAGCGACTGTTGGGAAATATTTCAATGAATCAAATTCTTTATTTATTTAAAGTTTGCATTTCGCTACTCGACTTTGGAAAGCAATGTAAAAACTTTGTTTTATTTATTTTCATAGCTGTTTCTTAGTGTTTCGTTGGCCACGACTTTTGTTTATATGAAACTGATCTAGATTTTTTAGCAGTCTGCGCAAATCCGGGAACTTTCATTCATTCGTGTTTTTATTTCGTAATGTTTTATGTTTTTCTTCAGCTGCTGCATTTTAAGATGGAATTTTTTTGAAATGAATATAATTTTACAGATGTTTTATTTTTCTTAATATCTGATTTTTTTTCTGTAAAGAGGTTCAAATGAAACTGCAGTAGGTACAGTATCTAACGACAGCAAAAAATGATTGCTAAACTGTAAATGGATATTTCCAAAATTATAATTATATACAAAATTATATAAAAATAATAATATAATTTTTTTGTAGAGTTCCACATATGATGAATTTTCCTGTATCGACGGTGAGTCTTCAAGGCTTGAGTGAATAGGTTGCTTATGGGACGACGTGCTCCATCGTAGACCGCATCATCGCTTACCATCAGGCGAGATAGTGGTCAAACGTCGGCCCAACAAATCCTTACTAATATTATAAATCGGAAAGTGAGTTTGTTTGTTTGTTCCGATTTCACGCCGTAAATACTAAACTGATTGCTTTGAATTTTTGCAGACGTAAGTTAGAAGTCTGGATTAAATAATAGGGTACTTTTTATCCCGGAAAAATTGATATTCCCGAGGGAAAACAAAAGTATTGGTTTAGATGGCGCTGTATATATTGGTATATGTCACATAGGCTACTTTTTATCATTTTGTGACGCGTGCGAAGCCGCGGGTAAAAGCTACTATAAAATAAACCCGGGCAACAACTTGAGGATCACATAAAGAATAGCTCACTGTTCATTCAGTACATGAATAGGGTAGAAAACTAATTTTTATTTTAATGTCCGACTGGTACATTAATTTGAAATTTTAGACATGTATTTTTTCTTTTCTCACAAAATTAAATAGTTACTTTTGACGATAGTTATATTAATTTAAAATATCGTGTGACGTCACAGCGTGCCACATTTTGTACCACGTTATGTATATGACGTAACAACCTCAACTCCTAAATTTAGCGCCATTTTATCTAAGTATTGCAACTTAATACGAGAAAATAAAAAAAAAATACGTGTCTAATATTTTTTCATTATCTAACTAACGGACTAATTAGATTTTTAATTTTCATACCCTGTCATCATCCCTATTGTTCTCGCGACATGACACAAGCCGTTCACCTAAGTACTGCGCTAACCACGCAGTGTAGTCTAAATGAAATAAAGTAAAGTATTAAGACTACAGGTCGGTCGCGGAGAACCTAACGGGTAACCGGGGCTCCGGCTCGACGTGCAGGAGAAGGAACGGGGTGGTTTTTAGTCAGTAAGAGTCTGACACTCCCTTCCGCCTCATCCAGGCGGGAGCAGTCATTCGATGATTTTCCCCCCTTAAAAAAAAAGACTACAGGTCAAAACAAGTCATACAGCTAAAAAAAGAACATGTTCAAGGAAGAAAAATATTTTTTTCTGTTTCTCTTTTTAATTTTCTCTTATTGACATTGTGTGGGTGCGTTTACACATTTCGTCTGTGTATACAGACAAGCACATTAAGTCAACCTAAATCACCAATTTATTTTAGTATACTTTCAACTTTATTACAATTGGGATAAGGTAGAAAATGTATTGAAGTTCGACGTGTACCTTGATGTGCTGGTACGTTTATAGGAAATGTTTCGAACAGGTCACTAACCCCAGGTGCGAAGTAATCATGAAAGTTTGTTTTTCTATGTAAATGACTGAAGATTTATGTGAAACTAATAGTTTGTTGTTTTAACGCATACAGGTGGATTGTGTCTGTATTTATTTTAGAAATACTGACAATGGTTAACAACTATTGAGGGTACTCACGTGTTCGTTCAGAGCTTGGGCTGGTTAAAATTGAACCTAAGCCTAACAGAGTTGTCTAACGGGTTGCCGGGGCTCCGGCTAGACGTGCAGGAGAAGGAACGGGTTGGTTTTTAGTCAGTAAGAGTCTGACACTCCCTTCCGCCTCACCCAGGCGGGAGCAGTCATTCGATGATATTCCCGCCTTAAAAAAAGCCTAACAGAGTTTCATGCTGAATTTTTGAAATTTCTATAAACTCTTAACTTGGAACAAAATATTTTTGTAATAAATGTAGTGAGACCTACTATACACATACCGCGACCGCGCACGCTGCTCATGAGGAAGAGCCCCTCTGTGGTTCGAAACTAGTAGAGCTTTTCTTAGTATGTTCACGTGAGTAACTCGTGATTTTTAGTTAAAATATTTTTGTCCAATCTATCCAGATAAATAAAATTGGAGTTTCTGTTTGTAATATTGAAATGACAGCTTTTTACTACATGTATATGAATATACATACGATAAACATACCGGTCTGTCTGTTTGTACTGGCTAATCACTGGAATCAATGGACCGATTTTGCAAGACTTCTATTGGTAGGTAGCTGATATACTAAGGAGTAAGTAACACGGGCTACTTTTATTTTGGAAAAGTGAAATAAAAAAAAATGTTTAAAATTCATATTCTACGTAGACGAAGTAGCGGGCAACAGCTAGTATATTAGACAAAACTATTTCTTGCACCTCTTTTCCTGTGCACCTCTGTCTAATCTTTCGGGGAATCCTTACTAATATTATAAATCGGAAAGTGAGTTTGTTTGTTTGTTCCGCTTTCACGCCGTAACTACTAAACTAATTGCTTTGAATTTTTGCAGATGTAAAGTTAGAAGTCTGGATTAAATAATAGGGTACTTTTTATCCCGGAAAAATTTGATATTCTCGAGGGAAAACGAAATGATTGGTATAGATGGCGCTGTGTGTATTGGTATATGTCGTATAGGCTACTTTTTATCCTTTTGTGACGCGAGCGAAGCCGCGGGTAAAAGCTAGTAACTAGCATAAAGCTCAAATTATTACCAAACCTACACGTTTCAAAGAAATCCAAGTCTGAAACTCATTTCTAGACACACTTTCTGACTAATAAACTAGATAACCGTCTGTTTGTTTGTACTCTAAAACTACTGATCCAATTGTGATGTTTTTGTTTTTTAATCTGAAATACTCCAGACACGTCTGTCTACTGTAATAAAAGAGTATTTATTTGTTTTTCTAACTGGTGTTAGATGTAGTTTTTTTCCTATTAATCGACTGCACGGTTGGTGCGGTGGTTGGGCAACCGGCTACCGTGCAACGTGTCGCGGGTTCGATTCCCGCACGGAACAACACTTTGTGTGATCCACAAATTGTTGTTTTGGGTCTGGGTGTCATTGTGTATGTGAATTTGTGAATTTGTATGTTTGTAAACGCACCCACGACACAGGAGAAAATCCTAATGTGGGGCAACGTTTAAAAAATCTGAATACTTTTTTATGGTATAAGCCGCTAAACGAACGGACGGATCATCTGATGGTAAGCAATTGGCGTTGCCCACGGACACCTGGAACATCAGAGGCGTTGCAAGTGCATTACCGGCCTTTTAGAATTAGGAGTTTGAGGATTGTTGGGGTTCAGGGAATTGGAATGGATTTTTAAACTTAGTTTCATAGGCCAGTAGATCATCGTCTTTAGCATGCACTTTGTAAGATTATTTTAGACACTACTGACAAAGGGTGAAGGAAAACATCGTGAGGAAACCTTTTCTTAACATTTTATTATAAATGTGAAAGTTTATTTGTTTGTATGTTTGTCCGTCAAACACGCTGAAACTACAGAACGGATTTTGATGAAATTTGGTATACAGGCAGGGTGCAAGCTGACTTAGATGGTAAATGATTTATCGTGGGCAACAG